CTCTCGGCTCAGGCTCTCGACGCTCAGGAGTGGAAGCACGAGTCTCAGGCTCTCGACGCTCAGTCAGGGACTCTGGCACAGCAGTGTAAGGAGCAGGAGCAGGCAGTGGGGAGTGAGGCAGTAGCTGTAAGAACAGTAACGGAGGAGTAGTACCAGAAGCTCCGATACTGTTCTAGCTCCAGAAGCTCTAGCACCAGCAGCTCCAGCACCTCCAGCACCAGCAGCACATCCAGCACCAGCAGCTCCAGCACCTCTAGCACCAGCAGCTCCAGCACCTCCAACACCTGTAGTACCTCTGGCTCTAGCAGCTCCAGTGCCTCCAGCACCAGCAGCTTCAGCACCTCCAGTACCTCGAGCACCAGCAATACCTCCAGCACCAGCAGCTCCAGCACATCCAGTACCTCGAGCACCAGTAGCACCTCTAGCACCAGCAGGTCCAGCACCTCCAGCACTAGCAGCACTTATAGTACCTCCAGCTCTAGCAGCTCCAGTGCCTCCAGCACCAGCAGCTCCAGCACCACCAGTACCTCGAGCACTAGCAGCACCTCCAGCACCAGCAGCTCCAGCACCTCCAGCACCAGCACCTCCAGCACTAGCAGCTCCAGCACCTCCAGCACTGGTAGCTCTAGCACCGCCAGCACCAGCAGCACCTCCAGCACTAGCAGCTCCAGCACCTCCAGCACTAGCAGCACCTCCAGCACGAGCAGCTCCAGTACCTCCAGCACCACCAGCACCTCCAGCCCGAGCACCTCCAGTACCTCCAGCACCAGCAGCACCTCCAGCACCTCCAGCACCAGCAGCACCTCTAGCACTAGCAGCTCCAGCCTCCAGCACCAGCAGCACCTCCAGCACCAGCAGCTCCAGCATCTCCTGCACTAGCAGCACCTCCAGCACGAGCAGCTCTAGCACCTCTAGCACCAGCAGTACCTCCAGCACTAGCAGCTCCAGTACCTCCAGGACTAGTAGCTCCAGCACCAGCAGGACCGTACCCTCCACCACCAGGACTGCCTCGCCGAACGATCTACGCACGAATCGCCTGCGGCGAGAGCGTCTTAAGTAGATCAAGCTGCGGTGGCTATCCAGCTCCAGGACCTCCAACAGGGTCACCCACAGCTCCACCGCCACTAGGATTCGCAGCAGCCCCAGTCGTAGCACCCCCAGTCGCGGCACCCCTAGAACCCTCACCCTCTGTCTCAGCACCCGCAGGCTCAGCACCAGCAGTCTCGGCTCCAGAGTCCACAGCAGCAGGCTGCGGAGGTGGCGAAGACGACCGAGGAGGAAAACCAGGGAGGGTCTCCAAGCGTGGAGAGCGGCGAGTGGCCGCCGTGTCGTCAGCGGCGGGGTCACCCCCCGCAGCTGGGCCAGAGGAGTCAGAAGAGATCTCCAAAGGCTCAACCAAGGGGGGTGGGTCTACCTGAGACACACCTGAGGGAGCAGGACCCTGTGGGGGGAGGGGGTCTACCGGAGGGGGGATTGGTACCAGGAAGAGAGGCGCTAGGGGGACCGGGTGGGACGCGTGCGGGTATAGTCTATAGAAACAGACCGAATCGTCAAAGGTGACGTCCTGGGAGGAGAACACACGACGGTCGCGTGGGTAGTAGAACTGCCACAGCGGGGCGTCGGTGGGGAAGCCAGAGGAGAGCTTGCTCGCTTTGGCATCGCGAACAAGGGAGAGCGCGCCCCAGGCCCGAAACACCGACGCATCGCCAAACTTCCCCGTCCACCGAAGGGTGGGCAAGGTCTCTGGCTCACAGACACGGGGCCAGAGGTTGAGCTGATGCGCAGCGTATCGTACCGCAAACGGCCACAGAAAATGGGGAGCAGCCGCATGGATCATGGAGGTACGAGCAACCTCCATGATCAAGCCAATGCGACGCTCAACAATCCCATTCTGCTGAGGAGAGGCCGGAAGCGTGAACGTCTAGAAGATGCCCTCGTCTCGACAGAACTCCTCAAGGAGGCCGGAAGAGAACTTACCACCCCTGTCAGAGTGCAGACGCAGGACTGGCAAGTCCCGACGAAACTGCTCGCGCAGCTGGCGACGAGTAGCACGGATCCAGGGGATCAAAACACCGCTGACGTCCGCCTTGCGCCGCAAGGGGAAGACAGTGGTGTAGCGTGTGTAGTCGTCAACAACCAGCAGGAAGTAGCGCTCCTGGTCCGTTCCACCGATGGGGGCCGGGTCCCAAACGTCCATGTGGAGAGTCTGCAGAGGAGCAGTGGTCGGAGGAAACTCGGAGGAGTGAGGAGCGGCGCGCTGCCGCCCCTTGACGCAGGGAAGGCAAGGCGGTGCAGGCGAGCGCGGGAGGGAGGGCAGGGACTTGGGAAGCCCATAGACAAGGAAACGGGAGTGCATGCTGCGGCGACGCGGCAGCGAGGGGTGACCGAGGCGGTGGTGCCAGAGGAGAGTCTGGTGGGAGAGTACCCGACACGAACAAGATGCTGCAAGCTGACCAGACGTAGGCACCTGACTCGACGCAGCCACCTGACGTGACTCAGCCACCTGTGCAGACACAGTGGTCAGTGTGTACGGACTAGACCCAGGCCGTCGAGTGAACGTAGCAAGGTGATGGCCTGTCCGAGAGCACGTATTGATCGCCACACGCTGCCCTCCAGGAATAAAGGTATCAACCCAGACATCCTGAATGGCAGCGTTGCTCACCAAGTTCGTCGAGAACGTGGGGAGGTGGAGAACTGACAGAGAACTGGAGGGGACTGCCGGACACGGGAGGACAGTGGAGGCTCGCGCAACTACTGGGCCCCATGTGGGGTCAGCCAGTGAGACTGGGACAGGTGCTGCGAGTGGTGTGACTGTGGTGCAATCGCGAAAGCAACGTGACGCACCTGAGTCAAGCATGAAAGTGTGCAAGGCCTCAGCTGAGGCAGGACCTGTGGCAGTAGACGCACTAGCACCTAGAGCGTCGGCAGACTCACGGGCACCTAGAGCTACAGCAGACTCACCAGCACCTGGAGCGGCAGCAGACTCACTAGAAACGAGAGCAGCAACCTCTACACAACCAAGGACGCATCGCTGAGAAGCACAGTCACGAGGTCGCTGAGACCACATAAATCCAAAACCTCCACCACCAGGACGGCCTTGCTGAAAAACCCACTCACTAAGCTGCTGAGGGGTGGGGTCGTCCGGGAGAGGCAGGGAGCGCTGCCGTCCACTCTTAGCCGCTGCAACTGCCGCGATAGTGGCCATGACCGGTGGTGTCGGTCAGTAGTAGGTCCAGCACCTCCAGTACCAGCAGCACCTCCAGTACTCCCAGCCGCACTCCAGCACTTCCAGCACCAGCAGCACCTCCAGCACTCCCAGCAGCACCTCCACCAGCAGTAGTAGTAGCACGAGCAGTAGCAGCAGCAGCAGCAGCAGCAGCAGCAGCAGCAGCAGCAGCAGCAGCAGCAGCAGCAGAAGTAGCGGCAGCAGGGCGGCTCGGTGGGGCTGGACGGCGGCACCTCCAGCACTTCCAGCAGCACCTCCACCAGCAGCAGCAGTAGAACGAGCAGCAGCAGCAGCTGTAGTAGCAGCAGGGCGGCTCGGGTTGGGCAGGTCGGCTCGGGCTGGGTGGGGCGGCTTGGCCTGGGCGGCGCAGGCAGCAGGGTGCGCGCTGTGCAGGGCAGCAGAGCGCGACGCGCGGGCTGCAGCAGGGCGCGACGCGCAGGGCAGCAGGGTGCGACGTGCGGGCTGCAGCAGGGCGCGACGCGCAGGGCAGGGGCTGCTCACGAGCAGCAGGGGTGCTCGGGGCAGGGGCTGCTCGCGGGCAGCAGGGGCACTCGGGGCAGGGGCTGCTCGCGGGCAGCAGTGGCACTCGGGGCAGGGGCTGCTCGCGGGCAGCAGTGGCGCTCGAGGCAGGGGCTGCTTGCAAGCAGCGGTGGCGCACGAGACAGGGGCTGCTCGCGGGCAACAGTGGCGCGCGGGGCAGAGGCAGCACGCAGGCAGCAGGGGCGCGCGTGACAGCAGGGCAGCGCGCTAGGGTAGGCAGTGCGAGTAGCTGCAGGGCAGTGTGACACTGTGCGAGAGGGCCGGACAGCGCAAGGCGCTTCGGGCAGGAACTAGCGGAACGATCGGTGGGCCCTAAAAACCTAACAGGTTTCCTGCTCTGAATACCATGTCAGAATCACTACGCAGGAATGAATGAACTATGAATGTGTTGGGTACAAGTACTAACCCTAAAGTGTTGTACCCCTTGTAGGCTAACCCACTATAGCCTAGAGACAATACAAATATTTGGTTTGACAGCTGGTGGCGCATTGGTGCTACTGTTGTCTCGGTAAATTTTTTTTCTGTTCATGGTATACGGTATAATTTCTGATAGTTTTGTATGCGAATTGGTATTCTACGCAATTTGGCCTTCATCTACTATTGAATTGCAAATGCAACCTGGTTTTGAAATTCCATCTGGTTTTCAAGAGGTACTCATATGCTGGTTAAATCATCTTTTCCTGCCGCTTGTTTATAGCTGAAAGCGAGTTTCGTGCTGCGAGGATGACCCCTGGAACTTCCTCGACAACATCCGAGCCTCGGAATTGCCAGATAATCAATCCTCCGTGTCACTACGGTGTGCCTCTTTCGAGTGTGCTTTTTGCCACGCTTCTCACACTGAGAAGTCAGCTCCGCTATTTGCCACATCTTCAGCTTTTGTTCAGAAGCTGTGGCAGTAGTAGCAAGCAGTCGCAAGTAACAGCAGCAGGAGCAGCCATAGCTTTCCCGTGCTTCTCCGCACGCGTGCATTCGCTCGTGCGACGGCTTCGTTCCATTAACAACTCGGTTCTCCGCGAATCTTCACTTACGAACCCTAATGGCACACGCGGCTTCATGTTCGCGGGCTCCTGCCGCCACGCAATTTTGCATTCAATCCAAAGCTAGGCCGAACGATTGCCGGACCTGCGATGGCTGCACTCGCTCCCTTAGCCTCTGCGGAGCTTCGGCGTCCGTTACATTCGGTGCATCTGGTCAATCGAGCGCGTCATTGTTGTATTCACCTGCGCTTCGACCGATGCGTGGCGGTCCGCGTGGAATCGCGAGGTTGGGTTCGACGGGAGGTTCCCGCCGGCTGGTTTGTCGAAGCGCGTTGCTGGAAGACGAATCGGACGGAGAAAGGTGAGGGTACGGGAAGAGTTCGATGACGAATAACGGAATTCGTCAGTGCGTTGATACCAGTCGAGGTACTTCCTGCCAGCGTGTTTAATGTAGAGTTCGAGGTGTGTACGTGAGACGACGTCGAAAGGTGAGGCGACGGAATCCGTTCAGCATGATTATACTTATTCGAGGTGCTTCCAGCCAGCGTGTTATGAGGACGATTCCGACGAAGCTAAGTAAGACGTCGGGGAAAGGCGATGCGACGGAATTCGTCAATCAATTTCAGTCCCGGTCCCGGTGCTTCTAGCCAGCGTGGTAATGAGAACGAGTCGGAAGCGTGGGTGAGAGGCGACGGAATGAGTACGCGTGTGCGCATCAGGACCAGCAATCGCTGCTGCGATAACGGTGATTCAGGCGTCTCAGAAATTGAGCTGGAAGTATCCCTCGCCCCTCTTTTCCCCGCATTCCTCTCCTCCCTCCGTGCAGCACGAGAATCTCACCAGCGCTGAAGAAAGCAGTGCCAGGAGCCAAGCCCGGGGAGCAGCAGGAGCTGGCAGGAGACCACCCCGTCAACTGCTGCTCTCTCTGATGCTCCTCTCAAACCCTTTCCAATCTACCCCCTTTCCCGTTTCGCACCCTCGCAGCGCCAGGGAATCACCAGCGCTGAAGAAAGCAGTGCCAGGAGCCAAGCCCGGGGAGCAGCAGGAGCTGGCAGGAGGCCACCGCGTCAGCTGCAGCTTCCTCTGACATTCCTTCCAATCCCTCCCACATCCACCCCCCCTTCCCCACTTTCATCCCCCGCCCTCCCCCAGCACCAGAGACTCACCAGCACTGAAGAAAGCAGTGCCAGGCGCCAAGCCCGGGGAGCAGCAGGAGCTGGCAGGAGGCCACCGCGTCAGCTGCAGCTTCCTCTGACATTCCTTCCAATCCCTCCCACATCCACCCCCCCTTCCCCACTTTCATCCCCCGCCCTCCCCCAGCACCAGAGACTCACCAGCACTGAAGAAAGCAGTGCCAGGCGCCAAGCCCGGGGAGCAGCAGGAGCTGGCAGGAGGCCACCGCGTCAGCTGCAGCTTCCTCTGACATTCCTTCCAATCCCTCCCACATCCACCCCCCCTTCCCCACTTTCATCCCCCGCCCTCCCCCAGCACCAGAGACTCACCAGCACTGAAGAAAGCAGTGCCAGGCGCCAAGCCCGGGGAGCAGCAGGAGCTGGCAGGAGGCCACCGCGTCAGCTGCAGCTTCCTCTGACATTCCTTCCAATCCCTCCCACATCCACCCCCCCTTCCCCACTTTCATCCCCCGCCCTCCCCCAGCACCAGAGACTCACCAGCACTGAAGAAAGCAGTGCCAGGCGCCAAGCCCGGGGAGCAGCAGGAGCTGGCAGGAGGCCACCGCGTCAGCTGCAGCTTCCTCTGACATTCCTTCCAATCCCTCCCACATCCACCCCCCCTTCCCCACTTTCATCCCCCGCCCTCCCCCAGCACCAGAGACTCACCAGCACTGAAGAAAGCAGTGCCAGGCGCCAAGCCCGGGGAGCAGCAGGAGCTGGCAGGAGGCCACCGCGTCAGCTGCTTCCTCTGATATTTCTGTCAGGCGCTCCCCCATCCATCCATCCCCCTTCCCCCGCTCGCATTCCCCCCTGTAGCGCAAGGGAAGCAGCAGCGAAGAGAGCAGTGCCGGGCGCCAAGCCAGGGAGCAGCAAGAGCTGGCAGGAGACCACCGCGTCCGCAGCTGCTGTAGCGGCCCTTCTGGACAGTGCTGCAGGCGCCAGCGCTATAGGCAGCAGCGGAGCAGAAAAGGCTACAACTGCGTTTGCTTCGAGTGCTGCTGCTACAGGCGGCTCTGCTACAGCCGGTGCTGCTGGGGGGGCTGCTACAGGCGGTGCGTCAGCAGCAGGGCCGGCGGCGGCGGCGGTGGGCGAGTTCTGCATCATAGAGGGACCGGACGCGCTGCAGGACTTTGCTCGCATGCAGCTGACTGAGATCCGTGACAACATCACGTCTCGGCGCAACCGGATTTTCCTGCTGCTGGAAGAGGTGAGGCAGAGGGGAACGGGGCCAAGGAGGTGAGGGAGGAAAGGTATGCTGCTGCTGCCGCTACTGCTGCTGCTGCTGCTGCTGCTGCTGCTGCTGCTGCTGCTGCTGCTGCTGCTGCTGCTGCTGCTGCTGCTGCTGCTGGTGCATGAGGTGGTGCGGCTGTGGGTTGTAGGACAAACGGTGCAGGTTTGGGAGCAGTGGTGGGCGAGTTCTGCATCATAGAGGGGCCGGACGCGCTGCAGGACTTTGCCCGCATGCAGCTCACAGAGATCCGTGACAACATCACCTCCCGGCGCAACCGGATTTTCCTGCTGCTGGAAGAGGTGAGTCACAGAGGGAGCAGGGGAAAGGATGGTGGTAGGCGCTGCAGGACTTTGCCCGCATGCAGCTGACGGAGATTCGTGATAACATCACCTCCCGCCGCAACCAGATTTTCTTGCTGCTGGAAGAGGTGAGTCAAAGGACGGGGTGGTGCGCGCTGCAGGACTTTGCTCGCATGCAGCTCACAGAGATCCGTGACAACATCGCCTCCCGGCACAACCGCATCTTCTTGCTTCTCGAAGAGGTTGAGTGGGGCGAAGAGGTGAGTGAGGCGAAGGGTGGAGCAAAGAGGGGAAGGGGTTGATTGCTGGTTCTGACTACATCACGACGCGCCGCAACCGGGTCTTTCTGTTGCTGGAAGAGGTGAGAAAGAGGGGAGCAGGAGCAAGGTGGTGTGGGGGGAAAGGCATGCTGCTACTGGTGCTGCTGATGGGGGGGCGGTGGCGGCGGCCGAAGCTGAAAAGGTGGGGTGGGCAACCGACGTGCTGTCCCCCTTATAACCAGATTCGTCAGCTCCACATGTCGCTGGGGATCACGAGACCAGAGGAGTGCCACTATTCGAGTCGATTCAAACCCCGTTTGCCATGTTGCCCCTCGTTCTGCCACCTTACCAGATTCGCCGGCTGCGCATTCAGCAGGAGATCAAGAACTGAGAGGAGAGCCGTTTGTTTCTAACGACTCAGCACTTGTTTTGTATGTCTCCCTTCCACCCCCTCCCTTCTTTGTCCCCCTTATAACCAGATTCGCCGGCTGCGCATTCAGCAGGAGATCAAGAACGCAGAGGAGAGCCGCAACAGAGCAGCAGCAGCCGCCGCACGAGCGAAATTGGGAGGCCTGCCAGTGGAGGAGGAGGAAGAGATGCCTGAGTACCCCTCCTCGATTCCCTTCCTGCCCCCACTTGTGAGTGTTGAATTGAAACATCCTATGAGCCTTTTTCTGTGACGCTGCTGGTAGGGCAGCAGCAGCAGCAGCAGCAGCAGCTGCAGCACTGATGAGACTGGCTCAGGGACTGGGGGACTGAGTGGAGGAGGAGGAGATGCCCGAGTACCCTTGTTAGTTCTCCTCCATCCTGTTCCTGTCCGCCCCCTTGTTAGTTCTCCTCTGAAACGGACACACTGAAGAAATATTATGTCACGTTCGCCTTCCTGATGTGACTTGACCTCTGAGTTCCGCTCCACTGGAACTGTCGAAGTCGAACAGGTGGGCTGTGCGGTATGTGACTTATGTGAACAGGTGGAGCCAGTATGAATCAACTCTTCCTGATGTGACTTGACCTCTGAGTTCCGCTCCACTGGAACTGTCGAAGTCGAACAGGTGGGCTGTGCGGTATGTGACTTATGTGAACAGGTGGAGCCAGTATGAATCAACTCTTCCTGATGTGACTTGACCTCTGAGTTCCGCTCCACTGGAACTGTCGAAGTCGAACAGGTGGGCTGTGCGGTATGTGACTTATGTGAACAGGTGGAGCCAGTATGAATCACCTCTTCCTGATGTGACTTGACCTCTGAGTTCCGCTCCGCTGGAACTGTCGAAGTCGAACAGGTGGGCTGTGCGGTATGTGACTTATGTGAACAGGTGGAGCCAGTATGAATCAACTCTTCCTGATGTGACTTGACCTCTGAGTTCCGCTCCACTGGAACTGTCGAAGTCGAACAGGTGGGCTGTGCGGTATGTGACTTATGTGAACAGGTGGAGCCAGTATGAATCAACTCTTCCTGATGTGACTTGACCTCTGAGTTCCGCTCCACTGGAACTGTCGAAGTCGAACAGGTGGGCTGTGCGGTATGTGACTTATGTGAACAGGTGGAGCCAGTATGAATCACCTCTTCCTGATGTGACTTGACCTCTGAGTTCCGCTCCGCTGGAACTGTCGAAGTCGAACAGGTGGGCTGTGCGGTATGTGACTTATGTGAACAGGTGGAGCCAGTATGAATCACCTCTTCCTGATGTGACTTGACCTCTGAGTTCCGCTCCACTGGAACTGTCGAAGTCGAACAGGTGGGCTGTGCGGTATGTGACTTATGTGAACAGGTGGAGCCAGTATGAATCACCTCTTCCTGATGTGACTTGACCTCTGAGTTCCGCTCCACTGGAACTGTCGAAGTCGAACAGGTGGGCTGTGCGGTATGTGACTTATGTGAACAGGTGGAGCCAGTATGAATCACCTCTTCCTGATGTGACTTGACCTCTGAGTTCCGCTCCACTGGAACTGTCGAAGTCGAACAGGTGGGCTGTGCGGTATGTGACTTATGTGAACAGGTGGAGCCAGTATGAATCACCTCTTCCTGATGTGACTTGACCTCTGAGTTCCGCTCCACTGGAACTGTCGAAGTCGAACAGGTGGGCTGTGCGGTATGTGACTTATGTGAACAGGTGGAGCCAGTATGAATCAACTCTTCCTGATGTGACTTGACCTCTGAGTTCCGCTCCACTGGAACTGTCGAAGTCGAACAGGTGGGCTGTGCGGTATGTGACTTATGTGAACAGGTGGAGCCAGTATGAATCACCTCTTCCTGATGTGACTTGACCTCTGAGTTCCGCTCCACTGGAACTGTCGAAATCGAACAGGTGGGCTGTGCGGTATGTGACTTATGTGAACAGGTGGAGCCAGTATGAATCAACTCTTCCTGATGTGACTTGACCTCTGAGTTCCGCTCCGCTGGAACTGTCGAAGTCGAACAGGTGGGCTGTGCGGTATGTGACTTATGTGAACAGGTGGAGCCAGTATGAATCACCTCTTCCTGATGTGACTTGACCTCTGAGTTCCGCTCCACTGGAACTGTCGAAGTCGAACAGGTGGGCTGTGCGGTATGTGACTTATGTGAACAGGTGGAGCCAGTATGAATCAACTCTTCCTGATGTGACTTGACCTCTGAGTTCCGCTCCACTGGAACTGTCGAAGTCGAACAGGTGGGCTGTGCGGTATGTGACTTATGTGAACAGGTGGAGCCAGTATGAATCACCTCTTCCTGATGTGACTTGACCTCTGAGTTCCGCTCCACTGGAACTGTCGAAGTCGAACAGGTGGGCTGTGCGGTATGTGACTTATGTGAACAGGTGGAGCCAGTATGAATCAACTCTTCCTGATGTGACTTGACCTCTGAGTTCCGCTCCGCTGGAACTGTCGAAGTCGAACAGGTGGGCTGTGCGGTATGTGACTTATGTGAACAGGTGGAGCCAGTATGAATCACCTCTTCCTGATGTGACTTGACCTCTGAGTTCCGCTCCACTGGAACTGTCGAAGTCGAACAGGTGGGCTGTGCGGTATGTGACTTATGTGAACAGGTGGAGCCAGTATGAATCACCTCTTCCTGATGTGACTTGACCTCTGAGTTCCGCTCCGCTGGAACTGTCGAAGTCGAACAGGTGGGCTGTGCGGTATGTGACTTATGTGAACAGGTGGAGCCAGTATGAATCAACTCTTCCTGATGTGACTTGACCTCTGAGTTCCGCTCCACTGGAACTGTCGAAGTCGAACAGGTGGGCTGTGCGGTATGTGACTTATGTGAACAGGTGGAGCCAGTATGAATCAACTCTTCCTGATGTGACTTGACCTCTGAGTTCCGCTCCACTGGAACTGTCGAAGTCGAACAGGTGGGCTGTGCGGTATGTGACTTATGTGAACAGGTGGAGCCAGTATGAATCACCTCTTCCTGATGTGACTTGACCTCTGAGTTCCGCTCCGCTGGAACTGTCGAAGTCGAACAGGTGGGCTGTGCGGTATGTGACTTATGTGAACAGGTGGAGCCAGTATGAATCAACTCTTCCTGATGTGACTTGACCTCTGAGTTCCGCTCCACTGGAACTGTCGAAGTCGAACAGGTGGGCTGTGCGGTATGTGACTTATGTGAACAGGTGGAGCCAGTATGAATCAACTCTTCCTGATGTGACTTGACCTCTGAGTTCCGCTCCACTGGAACTGTCGAAGTCGAACAGGTGGGCTGTGCGGTATGTGACTTATGTGAACAGGTGGAGCCAGTATGAATCACCTCTTCCTGATGTGACTTGACCTCTGAGTTCCGCTCCGCTGGAACTGTCGAAGTCGAACAGGTGGGCTGTGCGGTATGTGACTTATGTGAACAGGTGGAGCCAGTATGAATCACCTCTTCCTGATGTGACTTGACCTCTGAGTTCCGCTCCACTGGAACTGTCGAAGTCGAACAGGTGGGCTGTGCGGTATGTGACTTATGTGAACAGGTGGAGCCAGTATGAATCACCTCTTCCTGATGTGACTTGACCTCTGAGTTCCGCTCCACTGGAACTGTCGAAGTCGAACAGGTGGGCTGTGCGGTATGTGACTTATGTGAACAGGTGGAGCCAGTATGAATCACCTCTTCCTGATGTGACTTGACCTCTGAGTTCCGCTCCACTGGAACTGTCGAAGTCGAACAGGTGGGCTGTGCGGTATGTGACTTATGTGAACAGGTGGAGCCAGTATGAATCACCTCTTCCTGATGTGACTTGACCTCTGAGTTCCGCTCCACTGGAACTGTCGAAGTCGAACAGGTGGGCTGTGCGGTATGTGACTTATGTGAACAGGTGGAGCCAGTATGAATCAACTCTTCCTGATGTGACTTGACCTCTGAGTTCCGCTCCACTGGAACTGTCGAAGTCGAACAGGTGGGCTGTGCGGTATGTGACTTATGTGAACAGGTGGAGCCAGTATGAATCACCTCTTCCTGATGTGACTTGACCTCTGAGTTCCGCTCCACTGGAACTGTCGAAATCGAACAGGTGGGCTGTGCGGTATGTGACTTATGTGAACAGGTGGAGCCAGTATGAATCAACTCTTCCTGATGTGACTTGACCTCTGAGTTCCGCTCCGCTGGAACTGTCGAAGTCGAACAGGTGGGCTGTGCGGTATGTGACTTATGTGAACAGGTGGAGCCAGTATGAATCACCTCTTCCTGATGTGACTTGACCTCTGAGTTCCGCTCCACTGGAACTGTCGAAGTCGAACAGGTGGGCTGTGCGGTATGTGACTTATGTGAACAGGTGGAGCCAGTATGAATCAACTCTTCCTGATGTGACTTGACCTCTGAGTTCCGCTCCACTGGAACTGTCGAAGTCGAACAGGTGGGCTGTGCGGTATGTGACTTATGTGAACAGGTGGAGCCAGTATGAATCACCTCTTCCTGATGTGACTTGACCTCTGAGTTCCGCTCCACTGGAACTGTCGAAGTCGAACAGGTGGGCTGTGCGGTATGTGACTTATGTGAACAGGTGGAGCCAGTATGAATCAACTCTTCCTGATGTGACTTGACCTCTGAGTTCCGCTCCGCTGGAACTGTCGAAGTCGAACAGGTGGGCTGTGCGGTATGTGACTTATGTGAACAGGTGGAGCCAGTATGAATCACCTCTTCCTGATGTGACTTGACCTCTGAGTTCCGCTCCACTGGAACTGTCGAAGTCGAACAGGTGGGCTGTGCGGTATGTGACTTATGTGAACAGGTGGAGCCAGTATGAATCAACTCTTCCTGATGTGACTTGACCTCTGAGTTCCGCTCCGCTGGAACTGTCGAAGTCGAACAGGTGGGCTGTGCGGTATGTGACTTATGTGAACAGGTGGAGCCAGTATGAATCACCTCTTCCTGATGTGACTTGACCTCTGAGTTCCGCTCCACTGGAACTGTCGAAGTCGAACAGGTGGGCTGTGCGGTATGTGACTTATGTGAACAGGTGGAGCCAGTATGAATCAACTCTTCCTGATGTGACTTGACCTCTGAGTTCCGCTCCACTGGAACTGTCGAAGTCGAACAGGTGGGCTGTGCGGTATGTGACTTATGTGAACAGGTGGAGCCAGTATGAATCACCTCTTCCTGATGTGACTTGACCTCTGAGTTCCGCTCCGCTGGAACTGTCGAAGTCGAACAGGTGGGCTGTGCGGTATGTGACTTATGTGAACAGGTGGAGCCAGTATGAATCACCTCTTCCTGATGTGACTTGACCTCTGAGTTCCGCTCCACTGGAACTGTCGAAGTCGAACAGGTGGGCTGTGCGGTATGTGACTTATGTGAACAGGTGGAGCCAGTATGAATCACCTCTTCCTGATGTGACTTGACCTCTGAGTTCCGCTCCACTGGAACTGTCGAAATCGAACAGGTGGGCTGTGCGGTATGTGACTTATGTGAACAGGTGGAGCCAGTATGAATCAACTCTTCCTGATGTGACTTGACCTCTGAGTTCCGCTCCACTGGAACTGTCGAAGTCGAACAGGTGGGCTGTGCGGTATGTGACTTATGTGAACAGGTGGAGCCAGTATGAATCACCTCTTCCTGATGTGACTTGACCTCTGAGTTCCGCTCCACTGGAACTGTCGAAATCGAACAGGTGGGCTGTGCGGTATGTGACTTATGTGAACAGGTGGAGCCAGTATGAATCAACTCTTCCTGATGTGACTTGACCTCTGAGTTCCGCTCCGCTGGAACTGTCGAAGTCGAACAGGTGGGCTGTGCGGTATGTGACTTATGTGAACAGGTGGAGCCAGTATGAATCACCTCTTCCTGATGTGACTTGACCTCTGAGTTCCGCTCCACTGGAACTGTCGAAGTCGAACAGGTGGGCTGTGCGGTATGTGACTTATGTGAACAGGTGGAGCCAGTATGAATCAACTCTTCCTGATGTGACTTGACCTCTGAGTTCCGCTCCACTGGAACTGTCGAAGTCGAACAGGTGGGCTGTGCGGTATGTGACTTATGTGAACAGGTGGAGCCAGTATGAATCACCTCTTCCTGATGTGACTTGACCTCTGAGTTCCGCTCCACTGGAACTGTCGAAGTCGAACAGGTGGGCTGTGCGGTATGTGACTTATGTGAACAGGTGGAGCCAGTATGAATCAACTCTTCCTGATGTGACTTGACCTCTGAGTTCCGCTCCGCTGGAACTGTCGAAGTCGAACAGGTGGGCTGTGCGGTATGTGACTTATGTGAACAGGTGGAGCCAGTATGAATCACCTCTTCCTGATGTGACTTGACCTCTGAGTTCCGCTCCACTGGAACTGTCGAAGTCGAACAGGTGGGCTGTGCGGTATGTGACTTATGTGAACAGGTGGAGCCAGTATGAATCAACTCTTCCTGATGTGACTTGACCTCTGAGTTCCGCTCCGCTGGAACTGTCGAAGTCGAACAGGTGGGCTGTGCGGTATGTGACTTATGTGAACAGGTGGAGCCAGTATGAATCACCTCTTCCTGATGTGACTTGACCTCTGAGTTCCGCTCCACTGGAACTGTCGAAGTCGAACAGGTGGGCTGTGCGGTATGTGACTTATGTGAACAGGTGGAGCCAGTATGAATCAACTCTTCCTGATGTGACTTGACCTCTGAGTTCCGCTCCACTGGAACTGTCGAAGTCGAACAGGTGGGCTGTGCGGTATGTGACTTATGTGAACAGGTGGAGCCAGTATGAATCACCTCTTCCTGATGTGACTTGACCTCTGAGTTCCGCTCCGCTGGAACTGTCGAAGTCGAACAGGTGGGCTGTGCGGTATGTGACTTATGTGAACAGGTGGAGCCAGTATGAATCACCTCTTCCTGATGTGACTTGACCTCTGAGTTCCGCTCCACTGGAACTGTCGAAGTCGAACAGGTGGGCTGTGCGGTATGTGACTTATGTGAACAGGTGGAGCCAGTATGAATCACCTCTTCCTGATGTGACTTGACCTCTGAGTTCCGCTCCGCTGGAACTGTCGAAGTCGAACAGGTGGGCTGTGCGGTATGTGACTTATGTGAACAGGTGGAGCCAGTATGAATCACCTCTTCCTGATGTGACTTGACCTCTGAGTTCCGCTCCACTGGAACTGTCGAAGTCGAACAGGTGGGCTGTGCGGTATGTGACTTATGTGAACAGGTGGAGCCAGTATGAATCAACTCTTCCTGATGTGACTTGACCTCTGAGTTCCGCTCCACTGGAACTGTCGAAGTCGAACAGGTGGGCTGTGCGGTATGTGACTTATGTGAACAGGTGGAGCCAGTATGAATCACCTCTTCCTGATGTGACTTGACCTCTGAGTTCCGCTCCGCTGGAACTGTCGAAGTCGAACAGGTGGGCTGTGCGGTATGTGACTTATGTGAACAGGTGGAGCCAGTATGAATCACCTCTTCCTGATGTGACTTGACCTCTGAGTTCCGCTCCACTGGAACTGTCGAAGTCGAACAGGTGGGCTGTGCGGTATGTGACTTATGTGAACAGGTGGAGCCAGTATGAATCACCTCTTCCTGATGTGACTTGACCTCTGAGTTCCGCTCCACTGGAACTGTCGAAGTCGAACAGGTGGGCTGTGCGGTATGTGACTTATGTGAACAGGTGGAGCCAGTATGAATCAACTCTTCCTGATGTGACTTGACCTCTGAGTTCCGCTCCACTGGAACTGTCGAAGTCGAACAGGTGGGCTGTGCGGTATGTGACTTATGTGAACAGGTGGAGCCAGTATGAATCACCTCTTCCTGATGTGACTTGACCTCTGAGTTCCGCTCCACTGGAACTGTCGAAGTCGAACAGGTGGGCTGTGCGGTATGTGACTTATGTGAACAGGTGGAGCCAGTATGAATCACCTCTTCCTGATGTGACTTGACCTCTGAGTTCCGCTCCACTGGAACTGTCGAAGTCGAACAGGTGGGCTGTGCGGTATGTGACTTATGTGAACAGGTGGAGCCAGTATGAATCAACTCTTCCTGATGTGACTTGACCTCTGAGTTCCGCTCCGCTGCTTCCCTCTCCTTGTTTCAACTGTTTCTGTTTGTTTCTGGTTCTGTTCCTGTTGGTTTGTGTTGCTCTTTCTATCCCTAACGGACTGCAGAAAACGGACACTCTCAAGGAGTATTATATCACATTCTCCTTCCTCGTGTGGTTTACCTCTCTGCTCCCTCCTCTGCTTTCTTCATGTGACCGCCCTGCACTATCGGACTGCAGAAGACGGACACCTTCGCCTTCCTTGTGTGGCTGGCCTAATGCTGCTTTTTCTCTTGCTTGTGCTGCTTTCCTGTTCTCCCCACATCCCCTGATTGCAGCAGAAAACGGACACCCTCAAGGAATATTACATCACGTTCGCCTTCCTTGCGTGACTTACTTCCTGGTTCCTCTGCTTTCTTTGTGTGACCTTCGTTTTGGTTCCCTTACCCCCTGGTTCCCCCCTGCACAACCGCAGAAAACGGACACTCTAAAGGAGTATTACATCACATTTGCCTTCCTTGTCGCCAGCCTCATCATTTTCGGTGGCCTTGTGGCGCCCACTGTAAGGGGGGTGTAGCAGTCGTGGAGGCGGGGACGAGGGGATTAATTACTGGCTAGGTTCGGGTTGGGTAGTGTGGGGTATTTCACTGTTTATGGGATCTTCTGTGAGGGGGATTCACTGTTCATCTGATGCACCATTCGTTCGATATTGTTCCATTTGCTGCCTAATGCCCCTCCCTCCCTCCCCCCGACTCTACCACTCTTCCTTGCCCCTTTGTAATGCCCTTCAAATCTTTTGTTCAACTTTCCCTCCCTCCCTCCCTCCTTCACTCTCTCCCTCCCTCCCTCGCTCCCTCCCTCTCTCCCTCCCGCCCTCTCTCGCTCCCCCTTTCCTTTGCTCCTATCATCAGCTGCAACTGCGGCTGGGCATGGGTGGCACGTCCTATGAGGATTTTATCGCCAGCATGCACCTGCCGCGGCAGCTCAGGTAAGCTCGTGACTGAGAAGGTAGATTGCTGTCAATGAGGGGGGGTGGTGGCGTTATCAGTCTGTGCATCTTGTCTTGTGTCTGGGCATGGGTATTGGCACATCCTATGAGGACTTTATCGCCAGCATGCACCTGCCGCGGCAGCTCAGGTAAGCTCGTGACTGAGAAGGTAGATTGCTGTCAATGAGGGGGGGTGATGGCGTTATCAGTCTGTGCATCTTGTCTTGTGTCTGGGCATGGGTGTGTGGCACATCCTATGAGGACTTTATCGCCAGCATGCACCTGCCGCGGCAGCTCAGGTGAGACGCCCTGCCACAACAGCAGCATACGCCCTCTCAGATGCACTATATGAGTGAGTCAGTGCTGCTGTGACTTGTGCCTTCAAAATGGGTGTGTGGCACGTCCTACGAGGACTTTGTTGCCAGCATGCACCTGCCCCGCCAGCTCAGGTGAGACGCTGGGCTGGTTGTGACTGAGAAGGCAGACAAGGGGGGCTAGTGGGTGAGAGGGGGCGCCTGAGGGCTGGTGGGTGAGAGAGAGTGAGCACATGAGGGCTGGTGGGTGAGAGAGAGTGGGCACATGAGGGCTGGTGGGTGAGAGAGAGTGGGCACATGAGGGCTGGTGGGTGAGAGAGAGTGGGCACATGAGGGCTGGTGGGTGAGAGAGAGTGGGCACATGAGGGCTGGTGGGTGAGAGAGAGTGGGCACATGAGGCTGGGGGGAAGGGAAAAGGTACCTGTTACCATATATGCTCACTCCTCATGCATATGCCTTTTCCCTCTGCTCTCTATCAACTCTCCTCTGCTTCCCTCTTACTGCAGCCAAGTGGATCCCATAGTGGCCCTCCTCACAGGGGGGGGCGTGGGGGTGCTGTCACCATTGTCCTTTCTGAATGCTCCTTTCACCCCTCCTAACATCCCCTCCCTACTGTCTCATCACATAGCGTTTCAACACACCCCCGCCAAGTGGATCCCACAGTGGCCTCATTCACAAAGGGAGCCGTGGGGTGGGCGTGCTGTCAGCACAGCCACTTCTGAACGCTCCATGTCTTCCTTGTCTCCTCCCCATCCTGCAGCTAAGTGGATCCCATAGTGGCCTCCTTCACAAAGGGAGCAGTGGGGGTGCTGTCGGCACTGCTCTTTCTGAACACTTTTCGCCTTCCCTTTCCATCCTCTCATTACATCTACCCCTCCCATGCCAGCCAAGTGGATTCCATAGTGGCCTCCTTCACAGGGGGGGCGGTGGGGGTGCTGTCAGCGGTGCTGCTGGTGGTGGAGGTGATGGTCCCTCCACTGATGGTCCCTGTCTCCTCCGCTCCCACTCACTCCTCTACCCCCCATGCTGCAGTCAAGTGGACCCCATAGTTGCCTCCACAGGGCGGGCGGTGGGGGTGCTGTCAGCGCTGCTGGTGGTGGTGGAGGTGATGGTCCCTCCACTGATGGTCCCTGTCTCCTCCGCTCCCACTCACTCCTCTACCCCCCATGCTGCAGTCAAGTGGACCCCATAGTTGCCTCCTTCACAGGGCGGGCGGTGGGGGTGCTGTCAGCGGTGCTGCTGGTGGTGGAGGTGATGGTCCCTCCACTGATGGTCCCTGTCTCCTCCGCTCCCACTCACTCCTCTACCCCCCCATGCTGCAGTCAAGTGGACCCCATAGTTGCCTCCTTCACTGGGCGGGCGGTGGGGGTGCTGTCAGCGCTGCTGCTGGTGGTGGAGGTGCATCCACTGCTCACTGAGGTGGAAGGCAAAAGAGTAACCCTGTCCTCCGCTCCCACTCACTCCTCTCCTCCCCATCCTGCAGCCAAGTGGACCCCATAGCCGCCTCTTTCACAAGGGAGGCCGGTGGGGGTGCTGTCGGCACTGCTGGTGGAGGAGGTGATGCCTCCGCTGCTGTTAATGGTGCCTCTTTCTTTCCTCTCATACCACCCCCTCCGAACCTTCCCTCACATTACAGCCAAGTGGACCCCATAGTCGCCTCCTTCACAGGGGGAGCGGTGGGGGTGCTGTCAGCGCTGCTGGTGGTGGAGGTGAACAACGTGAAGCAGCAGGAGCACAAGCGCTGCATGTACTGCCATGGATCGGGTATGTACTGCCATGGCTCGGGTATGTACTGCCATGGATCGGGTATGTACTGCCATGGATCGGGTATGTACTGCCATGGATCGGGTATGTACTGCCATGGATCGGGTATGTACTGCCATGGATCGGGTATGTACTGCCATGTATGCGGTATGTGTGATAGGGAGACCGACTGCTGTCAGCGCTGCTGGTGGTGGAGGTGAACAACGTGAAGCAGCAGGAGCACAAGCGCTGCATGTACTGCCATGGCTCGGGTATGTACTGCCATGGATCGGGTATGTACTGCCATGGATCGGGTATGTACTGCCATGGATTGGGTATGTACTGCCATGGATCGGGTATGTACTGCCATCGATCGGGTATGTACTGCCATGGATCAGGTATGTACTGCCATGGATCGGGTATGTACTGCCATGTATGCGGTATGTGTGATAGGGAGACCGACTGCTGTCAGAGCTGCTGGTGGTGGAGGTGAACAATGTGAAGCAGCAGGAGCACAAGCGCTGCATGTACTGCAATGGATCGGGTATGTGTGTGCCATGGATCGGGTATGTGTGTGCCATGGATCGGGTATGTGTGTGCCATGGATCGGGTGTGTGTGTGCCATGGATCGGGTATGTCCTTGTACTTACTTTGTTCGTGCATCCCAATCCTCTCATCCCCTTCGACTCTGTTGACTTTTGTTGAACACTATCAACGTTTCTCCCCCATTTCCCCTCTCCTCCCCCGCCTCCAGGCTACCTGGCCTGTGCCCAGTGCGCTGCCACAGGCACGCTCATAGACGTGCAGCTGGAGGGGGAGGAGCAAGTGCTTCTGTTGACTCTGTTGACTTCGTATGAATTCTATACGCATTTCTCCCCCATCAACCTCTTCCACCTCGCCTCCAGGCTACCTGGCGTGTGCCCGGTGCACTGCCACGGGTTCGCTCATAGATGTGCAGCTGGAGGGGGAGGGGCAAGCGCTTCCTTTGACTATGTTGACTTCCGTTGAATGCTTCTGAGATTGCTCGTTCTCCTCCCCTCTCCCCTTCATCTCCAGGCTACCTGGCGTGTGCCCGCTGCTCTGCCACGGGCTCGCTCATAGACGTGCAGCTGGAGGGAGCGAGGCATTGACTTTGCCACCTTTCGACTTCGTTGACTTAGGTTGAATCCACACAGCCCCTTCCCCTCTCCTCCCCTGCCTCCAGGCTACCTGATGGGTGCCCGCTGCTCTGCCACAGGCGCGCTCATAGACGTGCAGCTGGAGGGGGGGAGGGGGTAGTCCTTCCTTTGACTCTGTTGACTTCCGTTGAATGCTTCTGATATTGCTCTTTCTCCTCCCCTCTCCCCTTCATCTCCAGGCTACCTGGCGTGTGCCCGCTGATCTGCCACAGGCGCGCTCATTGACCTGCAGCTGGAGGGGGAGGGGCAAGTGCCTCCTCCCTCTGACCCTGTTGACTTCTTTTTTGTTTCTATGCACCTCCCTTTTCCTTCTCCCCGTCTCCCCCCCCTAGGTTACCTGGCATGTGCCCGCTGCGCTGCCACAGGCTCGCTCATAGACGTGCAGCTGGAGGGGGAGGGTTCAGCAGAAGGCGGAGCAGCAGCAGCAGGAGGGGGTGCTGCTTCTAATGGAGCGCTGGCAGCAGCAGCAGGAGCAGAGGGAGCAGGTACTGCTGGGCGGCAAGGCATGAAGGTGGCCAAGCGGTGTCCCAACTGTGCTGGTCTGCGCAAGGTGAGGAGGGGCGTGGGGATCGGAGTGCGGGGCATGTGCATGCATGGGGTTGGAGAAATGGATGTCTGGGTTTTTGTTTGACAGATGAGGATCACTAGGGACAAGGTCGGTCGGAGGCCTGAAATTACTTGAATAGAATCTGCTGAGTGTTTTGAAGATATACATCCAACCTTGTACCCTTCACCCGTTCCCCGCCTTCTTTCCTTTGCCACATTCAGGTCATGTGCCCCACTTGCTTGTGCACGGGGATGGCACTTGCCACAGAGCACGATCCGCGTATCAACCCCTTCGAGTGATTGGTGGCGCCCATTATTTGTTGCATGCCCAATGTTGTCTCTGAACATTATAGAAACTTCGTCTTCTGTTATGCAAGCTTGGCATGTTGATGTATTCTTACAGATAGGTAGTACCATTGTTAGTTGGCACTTAACGAACAAGACTGCTTCTGTTTTGAAACACATTCATATTTTGGCTATTCAGTCTTCTTCTATAGAGGATAGCGTGGTTGGGCTTGTCCGATATGGACCTTGCCATCCCTCCTAGTGGTGAAGGCGATCGCGCCGGATCCAGCGGATACGGAAATGGTGGTCAATGTTGGTAGGGTGTGCCAGCGCGATTACAGCTTCTCAAGTTTCATTGGCTCTGCGGAACTACCACGTGAAACTCGCCCACGCTGGGCTCATGGAATCCCATCGCAGATATCTATCACCACAGAAATGGCGGTGAGAGTGTCCCTTCCTTATCGTATCATCACAGTTTTAAAGTTTCCGTTTGCACGGGTGTGGAACAGCTGTTTCTTGTGGCAGACGAGTCAACGGACTGGGTGCAATTTGAACCGACGATGCACCAGAATTGATCCGATTAGAATTCTCGAAATGAAACTGCACCAGCGCCATGCGCACTGGATTTGCTGTAGATTTGGTAACTTTTCATATCAGGTCAGGTTGCCTGACGTTCCGGGCAGAACTCTCTCGTACACTCGTAAAACACTTACACAGATTACTACACGGTCCAGAATTTGCATTTCGCGCCAATGATATTGAGTATTCCGCTCATCAATATCCGCAATCCGCTATGCGTCTCCACGGCACAATTGTGCCAGCGCGATTCGTACCACCTGTCGTCTGAAATTCCAATTTCCCACATCCCTCTCTGCACACAATCGCCTTCACTGCAAAGCCGATCCCCTTCAGACGCATCAGCAAGTTCCATGTGCTCCAAGATCCATTTCTGTTTCATTTCCGTATCTCGCGATATTCCCCCTCCATTCCACGAACGTGAAGTCACCGCCATTTCACCCAAATCCAGCAAGCCAACTCAGGAAGTTCTCGACTTGGACCTTGATGCAACGAAGAGACGCATCAGCCGTAGTAAGCGCAGTACGACGCTATGATTACGTATGGCCGCGGCACATGCGACCAATAAGAGTGAGGGTGACACTTGCCGCCCGTCGCCCCACGCGTGGTCATGGCGACTTGCCATGCATCATCGTTTCTGTGCAAGTCCCACTGCAACGCCCGTCCTGCTCGCAAACTTCTCACGAGCTTCGTTACTGAGGCGCGACGACGATCCACGATGGCCAATAGCCGCGAGTCAGCGACGAGACGACCTTTGCATTCATGGGAGAGCAGTGAAGGGCAAAGCAGTCCAGAGCAGGGCATACCAGTAACAGACTATTACAACGATGCTCGGGGGATGGTAGTTCATTTTGCATCGATTTCCCATGTTACGGCTTGCAGTGACTGCATCGTCGTTCATAACCGCCCGCGTCCAGCGCGGCAGAGTCAGTTTCGGAGCTCCTACGACACGGAGTCTCGTTTGTTTCCTCTCCGTAGTTCCCTCAGTTATTTGAGATCTATCAAAAGGTCATCTCGACAACAAAGTCCAGCGCGACTGTCAGTTTCGACTGCTTATGAGGCACTCACTCTCGTTGGCTCAAAAAACGAATCTCTTACTCACGCCTGTCAGAAAGCCTACGTCCCCTCGTAGTAGCCACCTCTGAAGGCGCGGCGTAGTCTCAAGGTTAGGCGCGCACACATCGACTTGGATCCGGAATTTTCTAGTAAAGGACTGTGTCATTGAAATAGGGTCTTCAAAAGGCCCACTTCAGTCTGACTGGGGTCTTCGAAACGCCCTTTTCACGACTCCAGTAACTTGCCTATAGAATGGCATGCCTCGCGACTGTCACAGCGACAGAAGCAGCAGAGGCAGCAGCAGCAGCAGCAGCAGCGCGCGGCGGGCCCGATAACTCCCTCTTCCGCTACCGCGGCGTGCGGCAGCGCACGTGGGGAAAGTGGGTGGCGGAGATCCGCGAGCCGCGGCGGAAGGTGCGCTTGTGGCTCGGCTCCTTCGTCTCCGCGGAACAAGCCGCGCGCGCGTACGACCGCGCTGCGCGGAAGCTGTACGGCGCGGAGGCGGTGCTCAACTTCCCCGCTGGCCCCCCGCCTGCCCCCCCGCCTGCGCCGAACGGGAGATCATGTCCCCCCTCCGCCAGCGCAGAGAAGCTCAAATCGTCCATCCGGAGCGCCGCCGCGAGTGGCGGAAGTCGAAATGATCCCCTCGCGGTGCTTCCTGCGGCTCTCTCTAGAGCGACACCCACCGCCGCCCCCGATACAAGCACATCGTGGAGCTATCACCTCCGCAACAGCCTCCGCGACAGCGGCGAGCGTATCAGTTTCCCGAGGTTGTCGAATTTCCCCATTCCTTGCCCTACCGCCGCCGCTAATGCAGCTCCTACTGCTGCTCCTACTGCTACTCCTGCTCCCATTCCTACCGCCACTCCCGCTGCAATTTTCGGTGGAAGTATGAGCGGCGGCACCAGCGGTCTTCCCAGCAACCCGTCGCCGTGGCTCGCGCGTTTCATGCTCGAGATCCAGGAGATGCGGAAACTCGCCGAGATTCGCGGCGGTCTCGTCGGGAGCTCAGGCTTCGGGTGCGAGATCGGCGCGCAGCCACCCAACAGTGGCGCCTCGTCAGCTGTCGCGGCGACGACTCGCAGCGGGACTTCCGCCGCGGCGAGCTGCCAGACCCGCCATGAGGCGTTACTGACTCGTTCGCCGCTCAATGGGTTTCCCGTCGCGGGGACCAACGCGGGCGGGGGGGAAAGCGCGAAGGCGCCGCTCTTCGCGGAGAGGCTTTCGAGCCTTGAGCAGAACGCCTTGTTCCCGTTCTTCCTTTCCCAGCAGCAGCGAGCGGAAGGAGCGGTCCAGAGGCTGCGTTGCGAGCAGCTTCGGCAGCAGCAGCCGCACTTGTTGCTGCAGCAGAATCAGCAACAGCTGAAGCAGCAGCAGAACCAAGCGCGCCTACCCCAGCAGTCCTCGTCACATCTTCATGCGTCTCAACCTGCACTCGAATCGCAGGCCTCCCTCCATTCCCCGTCCCCTTTCAGCCTGCTGCCAGCTCTCCAGGCGCTTACGGCAAAGCTTCCTGGAACAATCCCGGCAACCACTGCTTGGTCGAGTCAGAGGACACGAGTAGCTGAGGGGCTTCTGCTAGGAGCGATTCAGACGCCGCCGCCGCCGTTCAGTCTGCCTGCGGGTGCTCTGCTGCACAAGCCCCAGAAGCCCCAGATGCCCCAGATACCCCTGTGGCGTCAGCCACCTGCCGTCCCTGCTGCTCCAGCAGCCGTGCAGGCATCGGCATCAAACCCATCAGCACCGCACTCGACTGCGTCGCACCCGTCGGCATCGCAATCGTCGGCACCGTACCCGCCAGCAAGCGCCCTCCCAGCGTTTAGCGACCCCCAGCAGATTCTTCTGGCGCATTACATGAAGCTCACCAAGCGCCACGTGGCAGTGCAGGGCTGTGACTCTGCAGCCGCCCCTGCCGCATCACGAGGCTCAGTCCAGGTGAAAACGGAAGGGGCATCAGACATCGCAGAGGCACCTGAAGGTGAATCTCTGGCCGTTCAGGGGAAACGGATCCAAGGAGAATCAGAGGAGATGCATGGGATGAGTGAGCAGAGCTGCTTAAGCCCAGGGAAACGGGGGCGATGCGAGAAGGTCTGCGGTGGAGATGGGTCGGATGCTTTGCACGGTGATGTGGAGGGTGGTTATAGCATGAAGCGCATGTGCCTGCGGGGAAATGGAAGCGACGTGAAAGAGAGTGAGGTTTCGGAAAGGTTGGACGGCAGCAGCAGCAGCAGCAGCAAGGTGCTTGAAGAGGGTGAGAATGCTGGAGAGATGAGCCCGGAAAGCAATAGCTCTTGGGGGGAGTGTGGAGCAGAGCTGGTCTCTCTGGGTTCTGATGTGGCGGATTTCCAGCTGGAGGGAGATGTCTGGGGAATGGAGGGGTTGGAGTCTCTCCTTCCAGGTCTTTGTGAGCAAGAGCTTGCAATAACAACTGAACCATGGGATATGTGGTGAGTCAGAGTAATTCTATATTTTCCTCAATGTATATACCTTCAAGATATTTATATAGCTGACATCTTGTTATCGAACGTGTTGGTTTTTATTTGTTTGAAATAATTATTGCTAACCAATTTCCCAGCTCCCTAGTTTCAGGCAGCTGACAACACAGTAGAACGTTCCTTCCAAAATCAGTTTGCAAATCAACTCTTCACTCATGCACATGTCCTGCGTCGGTAACGTTGGGATTACCCCATCCTTTTTTTTTTGTAAAAGCTAGTAGATCATGTAATACATGGCGTTTCCGCGCCTCATCCTGGCCGTGCCTCCCAAGCCAGGCATAGGTCAGAAGGCGCAGATCACAGAGCGGCTGGGTGCGTTCTGGGAGGGGAGGTGGCGGGAGCTATTCGACTCTGCCATGGTGGCAGCGCGGCCAGCAGTTCGCCCACTTTCCTACACTTGCTCTGACGAGGACCCGGACGCCATCCGCCTATCACGGTGCCGATCTCGGTGCAAAGTGGGGGAGTGGAGCCGTGGTTTGGCCTGCCTTACAGCAAGGGAGTTGGCTCGACCGTCTGAGGCCATGGTGCAGTCGCTGCGAGAGAAGCACCCGGCTAGTACTGGCGAGGTACCACAGTGGGTCCGCGATTTCACCGTCGATACTGCTCAGCGGCCTTCACTCACGACCGACATCCTGGCCAGAGCTATCCATACAGCCGCTCGAGCTTCAGCAGCAGGGCCATCGGGGTGGGTCACAGAGCATCTGCGCGACACCTTCCTCACTGAACCTGCGTGCCTTTCCCACCTGCTGGAAGTGTTCAACCAATGGGTGGCGGGACAGGTCCCCGAGCGAGCTCGGCCGTGGCTTGCCGCATCTAACCTAGTCGGGCTTTCCAAACCTAACGGCGACGTCCGGCCGGTGGCGATCGGGGAAGTGCTTCCTCGTATCCTTGCTCGAGCTCTGTGCATCTCGCTCCGCCCTGCGATGGTTTCCTACTTCCTGCCGTGCAACCAGCTGGGAGCGGGCACCAGGGTCGGGGCGGAGATTCTCACTCATTCTTTCCGGTCAGCGCTGGCCACTCACCCCGACTGGTGTGCGCTACAGATAGACGTCGCAAACGTCTTCAATTCGTTTCACCGTCATGCGATGTTCGATGGGTTGCGGGAGTCGCCTTTCTCAGGGATGATCCCATTCTTGCGTGTTTTCTATGGGACACCCAGCGACCTGTACCTCCGAGCAGGCCCTTTCGTACAGAGTCTCGAGTCGGCACGGGGATCGAGGCAGGGGGACCCGCTCGGCCCTTTTCTTTTCGCGTTCACGCAGCAGCTGGTGATGGAGCCGGTTACTAGGGAGTTCGGGGACCTGCTTTTTCTCAGCTATGCAGACGATACCTATATTTTGGGGCCAGCGGCTAGGATTTTGGAGGCTTTTGGGGTGCTGCGGGAGCGGTTGGAGTGGGTGGGGCTGGAGGTGCAGGCGCATAAGTGCCGGTTTTGGGAGCGCGAGGGCGGGGAGGTGGAGCGGGCACTGCCATTGGGGACGCAGCGGGTGGATGAGGGTCTTACTGTGGTGGGCGTGCCTATTGGGGAGGAGGTTTGGGAGGTGGTCCGGCTACGGGAGCGGCTTCGACAGTTGCAGGCGCCACTGCCATGGCTCCCCTTGCTCGACCACCCCCAGATGGCTTCACACCTCCTCGCCATTGCAGTTTCAGCGCGGCCGATGTACCTCGCCCGGACTATGCCGCCGCGCCCGGAGGTGGTTGAGGCTTTTAGGGATTGGGACAGCTGTTTAGAGGATTGTTTCGAGCGGCTTTTCCCACCTGGCACTTGGGAGCAGGACCCCGACCGGTCTAGGCGCGCACGCATGCAGCTGCATCTCCCTGTGCGACTCGGAGGGTTCGGGATCCGGGCGGCGGCCTCTTTGAGCCCATTGTCCTATGTCTGTGGGTGGGCGCAGGCCGCGCGTGACATTGCACAGTTAGGGGTGGCGGGCGAGGAGGCGATGTTTGCAGAGTACCTCACCACTTCGACAGGGGCAGAGTTTCTTGACCCGTGGTTTGCCAAGGCTCTTGAGCAGCTGCCAGCGACTATCCGCCAGGAGATACCGGGCTTACCTCTGTGTGTAGCGGCCCCTCCTGTTCGGCTTTTCCAGGCGCGGCAGCGGCAATTAGCTATAGAGGAGCTCCAGACACTGCGACGTTTGGCTCGTGACGATGCTACCTTCAGGGCCCGGGGGCGGGTGCATGGGTCTCGGCGGTTCCGGCTCACTCAGATCTCACATTCACTGCGGCCGAGTGGGGCATTGCTGCTGCTATACGGCTCGGGCTCCCAATTCAGCAGCTGCAGGTGGCGGGGAGGTGTGTTTGTGGTACAGTGTATGGTGACCCAGCAGACCCGCATCATGCCCTGAGATGCAAGCACCAGCATGGTCCATCTCGGGTGCATGATGAGGTGAAGTTTGCGGTGGCGAAGATTTCTAAGGCGTCGGGGGGGGTGGTGACAATGGAGGATAGTGTGGTGCTGCAGGGGAAGCGGGTTGATGTGGCGGTGCGACGACCAATGGCTGGAGAGGCTCACGCCCTAGAGATCAGCGTCGCGGACCCGCTATCGCTGTCTCCATCCCTGCTAGGACAGTGCGGGCGTCAAATAGGTGTGGCGGCAAGAGAGTGGGAGCGTCGCAAAACGAGTGATTACGCGCCTCTGCTTGCACGCAACCGGGGCGTGCAGTTCACCCCTCTGATAGTAGAGACGTGGGGGTGTCTCGGCGGTCGTTTTCGGCGGTGGCTTCGTCAGCAGGGGGATGCGCACATGGGGTTAGCTGTGTCGCGGGGGGCTTGTCGGGAGGACGACTCTGTGTTTTCGGCTTATCTTTTAGGGTCACTGAAGGCGCTCATCGGGGTGGCGTTACAACGTGCGCAGGCCCGAGTCATCCTGCTGCGGGCGGCGTCTTCCATGGGGGGAATTAACGTAGACTTGGTCGATCGGGAGAGGGACGATGTCGATGTGGAAGGCGGGGCTCTTTGGGTGGAGGCCCCGTACATGGTGGATACGCTGTTGTGATTGGGGGGGGGGGGGGGAATGGGGTGTGGGATGGGACGTCTTGATGGGGTGTCTTGATTGGGGGTTTTGATTGGGTATCTTGAGGGGGGGTTTTATGTGTGTTGCGTTTGGTTTCTTTGTGGCAGTTTCACTTTCCTTCTCCCTTTCTTTCTTCATTTCCCTTCTCCTTGTTGAGTCTTTCTTTCCCTCCTTTTCCTCTTTCTGTTTAGGTCCTTGAGAGATTCATGTATGTAATACATGGCTCAGGGAGAGGTATCAAGAGGAAAAAAGGTGGAAGAGAAAGAGATGAATAGAAAGGGTAGTGCGAGTACGACCTGACGACGAAGAAGACGAATCGAGCAACTGTTGTAGGTGCTGGGAATTCGTATGATACGATTTTCGCAACTGGTCGTAGAGCGGGTCGTCGCCGTGAAGTCAGCGTTTCCCGGTCAAGACAGTATCGTGTTTTCGCAAAGGACTTCTTCGCAGCCCAATCCTTCGTAGCCACCAGGCAACGCCTACGATCAAGGTTGAAACAGATCCAGCGCCATGCGTCAGGTCAGGTTGCCTGACGTTCCGGGCAGAACTCACTCAATCACACATTGTACAGTAAAGATTTTTACAGTAGCGTACCACGGGCCAAAAATTGCATTTCGCGCCAATGATTTTGTAAATTGTCCTGAACCATATCCGCGATCCGTTTTCCGCCTTCACGGCGCAATTTTGCCAGCGCGATTCGACCCACCTGTCGTCCCGATTTTTTAATTTCCAACATCCCTCTTTGGACACAATTGCCTTCACTGCAAAGCTGATCCTCTTCAAACGACAGCAAATTCCATGTGCTCCAAGATCCCTTTCTGTTTATCCATATCTCGCGATATCCCCCCTCCATTCCAGGAACGTCAAGTCACCGCCATTTTACCCAAATCCTGCAAGCTAACTCAAGAGACGCATCAGCCATAGTAGGTGCGGTACGAGGCTATGATTCTGTGTGGCCGCGGCACATGCGACCAATAGGAGCGATGATGACTCTCACCGGTCCGTCGTCCTACGGGTAGTCACGACGACTTGGCATCGTCGTTTCCGTGCAACTCTCACTGCAACGCCCGTCCTGCTCGCAAAGTTTTCAGGAGATTCGTTACTGAAGAATGACGACGATCCACGACGGCCAAGAGCCGTGCGAATCGACGGCGAGACGACCCTTTCCTTCATGGGATAGGAGAGAGCAGCGGCGGAGCAGAGCAGAGTACCGCAGAGAAGCGCAGAGCGGCGCAGATGATGGTTGTTTATGTTGCAGGGATTTGGCATGGCGAGTTCATACGGTTTGCAGCGTCTGCGTCGTCGTTTATAACCACCCGCGTCCAGCGCGGCAGAGTCAGTTTCGAGCTCCTACCTCACGGAGCCGCGTGTTTGTTTGTTCCTTCGACACGAAGTTAGCTCGGTTATTTGAGGTCTCTCAAAAGGCTAGCGCGACTGTTAGTTTCGACTCAACGAACTCGGACTACGTACGAGGCACTCGCTCTCGTTGACGCAACAAACGACTCTCAGAACTGCGTATATTTTCAGTTACTGAGACTGCCAGTAGCTCAGCCCGAGTGGGGTCTGTAAAAGCCCTCCTCACGACTTTTTAATACTCGCTTACCGAATGGCATGCCTCACGACTGTCACAGCAACAGAAGCAGCAGCAGCAGCAGCAACGGCACGCGGCGGCCCCGATAACTCCCTCTTCCGCTACCGCGGCGTGCGGCAGCGCACGTGGGGGAAGTGGGTGGCGGAGATCCGCGAGCCGCGGCGCAAGGTGCGCTTGTGGCTCGGCTCCTTCGTCTCCGCGGAGCAAGCCGCGCGCGCGTACGACCGCGCTGCGCGGAAGCTGTACGGCGCGGAGGCGGTGCTCAACTTCCCCGCTTCCCCCGCGCCTGCGGCTGCGCCGAACAGGGGATCATGTTCCCCCTCCGCCAGCGCCGAGAAACTCAAATCGTCCGTCCGGAGCGCCGCCGCGAGTGGCGGAAGTCGAATCGACCCTGTCGCGGTGCTTCCTGCGGCTCTCCCCCGAGCAACACCCATCACTCCCGATACAGGCACATCGTGGAGCTATCACCTCCGCAACAGCCTCCGCGACAGCGGCGAGAGTATCAGTTTCCCAAGGTTGTCGAATTTCCCCATTCCTGGCCTTACTCCCGCCCCTCCGACTGCTTCTCCTACTGCTACACCTGCTCCCGTTCCTACCGTGACTCCCGCTGCTGCTTTCGATACAAGTACCTTCGGTACCATTGGCGCCAGCGGCGGCACCGGCGGCCTCCCCAGCAACCCGTCGCCGTGGCTTGCGCGCTTCATGCTCGAGATCCAGGAGATGCGCAAACTGGCTGCGATTCGCGGCAGTCTCGCCAGGAGTTCTGGCTGCGGGCGCGAAATCGCCGCGCAACAACGAAGCAGCGGCTCGCAGCCACCCTGCAGCGGCGGCTCGTCAGCTGTAGCGACGACGAACCAAAGCGGGACTTTTGAGGTGCCTCAGCAAAGGATTCTGACAACCGCTGCGTGGATGAGTCAGAAGGCACGAGTGGGTGAGGCGGTGGGAGCGATGCAGATGCAACCGCCTTTCAGCCTGCCTGCTGCAGCTCCGTTGGTTAAGCCCCTGGAGGGGCGAGAGCTCGCCCCTGTGATCAGGCACCTGCCGCCCTTCAGCCTGCCTGCTGCTGCTCCACTGGGCAATCCCCTGTGGCATCAGCCGCCTGATGTCCCTGCTGCTCCAGCAGATGTGCATTTGTGGGTATCACACCCATCAGCACCGCACCCGATTGCAGCGCACCTGACCACACCACAATTGTCAACAGCGTACCCACCAGGAAGCTCGCTCCCAACATTGAACAACCCCCAGCAGATTCTCCTGGATAATTACGTGAAGCTGACTAAGCGCCACGTGGCAATGCATGGTTGTGACTCTGCGACCGCCCCTGCCGCACCACCAGGCACAGTCCAGGTGAAAACGGAAGGGTCATCATACAGTGCAGTGGCACCTGCGGTTGAATCCATGGGCGTTCCAGGGATAGAGATCAAAGCAGCATTGGAGGAGATGCGTGGGGTGAGTGAGCAGAGTTGCTTGAGCCCAGGGAAACGTGGGCGACGCGAGGAGGCATACGGTGGAGATGGGTCCAATGCTTTGCAGGGTGATGCTGGCGCTTCTAGCAGGAAACGCATGTGCCTGCGGGAAAACGGAAGCGAGGCGAAAGAGAACGAGGGTTCAGAAGGGTTGGACGGGGGCAGCAGCAGCAGCAGCAAGGTTCTTGACGAGGGTGGGAACATCCGAGAGATGAGCCCAGGAAGCAATAGCTCTTGGGGGGAGTGTGGGGCTGAGCTGGTCTCTCTGGGGTCTGATGTGGCAGAATGGGAAATGGAGCGGTTGGAAATGCTGCTTCCCGGGCTTTAGTGAGCAAGAGCTTGCGATTACAACTGAACCATGGGATATGTGGTAAATTTAATAATTTATAATGGGTGCTTCAATGTAAATATCCTCGAAAATATATATGTAAACATATATATACGGCTGTTCCATTTGTTCTAATATAATTGGTCGCTTTTCAGTTCCATAGTTTAAAAGATAAACAGCATGAAATTCTGGAACCCCTCCCAACCCCTCTATGTTATGCAGTGTTATGTCATCGTCAGTCATCCATCAGGGCGGGTCCAGCGCGTATGTTTTCCGTTCATTACAGTTCATCCAGTGCGGTAATCTATATTGCGTCACGGTTTAAAACGGTGAAATTTCGAAACCGCTGTGCACCGTCTAATATCTTTTCAAACCACGACAGATGAACTGTATAGACCTGTAAACGTACGCGCTGGACCCGCCCTTATTGGATTGGATTATCTCATCCTTCTCGGGATCATCATCCTTCATCATCTTCTAGATTCTTGCGCAGCACGGAAATCATCAACCTAGTTTGCTTCCCTAGTCACTCTTTCGAGATTCCGTCATCGCCGAACATGGCGTCGTTAGCGTGAAGAACGTTCAGCTATGAAGCACGTTTTGTTTCTCAAGTCACTCTTTCGGGATTCCGTCATCGCCTAACTGGATTGGTAACGTTTTTTTAGAGGACACGGGATCTGGGATAGAACTGAGCACTGCGTCGGAGACAAAGCGAATCCGACGGCTGACGACGAAGAGGACGAATCCAACTGATGCTGTTGTCGCTGGAAGGAAATTCGGATGAAAAGCTGATCCCAACTGGTCGCAGAGCGAGTCGTCGTGAAGTCAGCCTTTCGTGGTCGAGACAGCATCGTGCTTTCGCAGCCGAATTCTTCGCAGCCAACCAGGGGACACCTGCGATCAGGGGATCAGACCAGATCAGCTAGGCGCGACGCGAAGATCCGCGTGTCTCGATGGGGTTAGACGGGTTGAGGGATAGAGACGGTCCGGACGACCAGACGTCGCAATTGTTGGACGAGGAGGAAGAAGTCGTTGACGGAGATGACGTTGACGTTGACGGAGAGGACGTTGACGGAGAGGACGTAGACGTTGACGGAGGAGAAGAAGAGGAGACGGACGAGCCGCAGACTACGCGGCTTTATGTGGAAGATCTGGTGACTAGCGCGACGGATCCCGCTAGAACCGGACTCGTCGCTGACGTGGCAGGCAACGTGGACAGCGACGATGATGACGAGGAAGATGACGAGGATTCGTTAGAAGACGGGTACGCCAGGATTTGCTGGCTCGGATCGGAGGAACCTACGGAGGAGAGAATTGAGGATCTTAATATTATAGACCGTTGCTTCTTACACGGAGACGTCGTGGCGCGCGCGGACGATCCGCTGGGGCAAACCGGGACCGTGACAGCTGTCGAGCTGCTATTGGATCTCGAGCTCGCGTCGGGGGAGATTCTGAAAGACGTGGATTCCAGGCGGTTGGTTCCGATCCGATCCGTGAAACCCGGAGGTTTTGTCGTTTACCGCGACTGGGTGGGTCGGGTTGACGACATTTTGGATAACCTCGTTTTGGTTTTCGACGACGGGGCAAAATGTCGGGTTACCAAAGTCAGTCCGGACGATTTGTTTCCGGTCAGACCGTCGGCGACGGACGACGAGGAGAGCATTCTTTTCTGGCCTGGGCAGCGCGTGCGCGCGAGTTACGCGAGCATATTCCGCCGAGCCCAATGGCTGAAGGGCACGTGGAAGCAGTCGCGCATGGAAGCCACGGTGGCAGTCGTGGAACCCGGAACGGCCCTCGTTCAGTGGATCACGGGGAGACAGTTCAGCAGCGTCGGCGGCGGAAGCGGCGGGGCCGACGGCGGAAGCGGCGGCGGCGTTAGTGGTGGGGGGGATGAGGGTAGCAGGGACAGCGGCGGGGATAGCGTCGCGGTTGCGGGTAAAGAGAGTGGCGGGGATGGGGACGGGGGGAGCAGCGGCAACGGCAGCGGCGGCAAGAAGAGAAGTGCAGGGAAAGGGGAGAAGGCTATGGGCGCGGGGGGCGCGGGCGGGGCGAAAGGGCCTCCGCCGGACGAGGTAAGCGCGGCGGCTGTACGCGCGCTGGTGCATTTTAACTACGCGAACTGGCAGGTAGGGGATCACTGCTTGCGCATTGATGATGGGGGGAGCGGGAAGGGGGAAGCCTGGGAGAATGGGGAAGGGGGCGGGGGAGGAGGAGGCGGAGTGGAAGCAGGGGGAGAGGGGGAAGGGGAGGGGGAAGTTGGAAGGGATCAGGGAGGGGCGGAGAAGAGTGAAGGGGAGAGGGAAGAGGAAGAGGGAGCACGAGCGGGAGAGGCAGGGGAGGCGGATCCTCTTATTGACTCTGGTGGAAGCAGCACTGTCACAACCAGCCACACCACCACCACCAGCAGCGGCGGCGGCAATACTGCTGGCAGCAGCAGGAGTAACAGCAGCAACCTGTTTTTCTGGCGTCGAGGCAGGGGCAAAAAGACAAACTCCAAGAAGAAAAACCCTCACAAAACCCCCAAGGGCGTGGAACGAGCGCCAATGGTGGTGCGCACAAGCACCCACGTGGCTGTCACGTGGCAGGATGGGCGCGAGGAGAGGGGAATTGACGCGTGCGAGTTAATACCCGTGGAAAATCTGGGTGAACACGACTTTTGGCCGGAGGATTATGTGGTGGAAAAGCACGGGGATGATGGGATGGGGGAGGTTGCGGGGATGGGGATGGGGAGTGGAGTGGGAGGGGAAGTAGGAGGGGAAGGAGGGCTGGGGGTTGGGGATGGAGGAGGAGTGGGAGGGGGAGAGAGGGGGATGAGTGGCGCTGCTGCGGATCTAGTCGCTCTTCTGACCTCCGCTGCTGATGCTGTTGGCGTTTCCTCTCCTGCTGCTGCTTCTCCTGCTGCTGCTTCTGATACTCATGCTCATGCTCATGCTCATGCTCTGGCGACGGTTCCTGCAGTTCTATTAGCAGACACAGCAGAGGAAGAAGTAGCAGCGGCAGCAGTAGGTGCAGCTGAAAAGGTGGCAGCAGCAGACGCAGCAGCAGACGCAGCAGCACACGCAGCAGCAGTAGCAGAGGCAGCAGCAGAGGCAGCAGCAGAGGCAGCAGAAGGCACAGCAGGAGAGGCAGCAACAGAGGCAGCCGCAGAGGCAGCAGTAGTCGCTTTTGAAAAGGCAGCATCACGCACAGCAATAGACGCAATCAAAACCTCTTCCGCCCTTCTCGCTGCTGCCCTCCCCACCCCTCCTGTTCCCGTGACACCCGCCCCCCTCTCCGTGTTAGTGCGAGGGCCGTGGGGGCGAGTGGGGTACGTGAAAACAGTGGATTACAAGCAGCGCACTGCCATCGTCGCCTGGGCTAGGGCTGGGGGCGGCAGCAGGGCGGGAGATTTGGGTGAAAATGGGGAGGATGGGGATGGAGGGCTGGGGAGAATGGAGGGTTGTGGTGCGGCAGGGTGGGGTGGGGTGGTGGAGTTTCAGGAGGAGTTGGCTGCGGTGTATGAGTTGGCTGAGCATCCAGACTGGAACTTCAGGCTTGGGGACGTTGTTGTTCGGCTGGAAGCAGAGGGAGGAGGAGAGACAGGAGGGGAGACAGGAGGGGAGACCGGGAAAGAGTTAGGGGAAGAGGCAGGGGAGGAGAAACAAGAGGAGAAGGAAAGAGCAGGAGAGCAAAGGGTGGATGATAAGGGAGAGGAGAAGGGGGTGGAAGGTAGGAAAGGGGAGGGAGGGGGAGAGCAAGGGGAACAGAGTGGCGCGATGGATGGTGAGAGAGGGGGCGATGGAGGGGAAGGGGAAGGGAAGGAGGGAGGAGAGGAGGGGAATGAAGTGGAGAAAGCAGAGGAGAACAAGGATGAGAAGGAAGAGGAAGAGGATGGGGAAGAGGAAGAGGAGGAAGAAGAGGAAGAGGAGGAAGAGGAGGAGGAGGGAGCGGATGATTGGGAGGAGGCAGAGGAGGGAGAGGAAGGTGGTGATGGGGATGCGTGTGGGGGGAGTGTGGATGCGTCATGGGTGGGCGAGATTGCTGCCATGCGCCATGGGCTGCTCACCGTCGCATGGGCTGATGGCTCCATTTCCCAGGTGCGTCCCAGTGGTACCATGCATGGCTTTACTGCCGTGCACCATGTGCCTACCATGCACCATGGACCATGCGCCATGTCACCATGCGCCATCTCACCATGCGCCATGTCACCATGCGCCATGTCACCATGCGCCATCTCACCATGCGCCATGTCACCATGCGCCATGTCACCGTGTTCCATGTCACCATCCACCATGTTACCACGTGCCGTGTTACCATAACCAATTACTTTTCCAATTTTCTCGTCCAGTTGCCTTTGTTTCATAAGGATTTTCGTATATCCACCATAGGCATACCCATTCCGCACCTCCAGGTTCCCCCACACATGCCTATGTGTTGAATCCAGGCGTGTATGAAGGGGATGGGGAGTATGAAAGCGGCTCACTATTCCATTTCACATGCACTACCATACCATTTCCGCACCTCCAGGTTCCCCCCACACTTGTCTGTGTGTTCAGTTTGGAAGATGAAGAGGACATGTATGAAGGGGATGGCGAGTATGAAGGCAGTTAACCATTCCATTTCATATGCCCCTTACCATACCCATTCACCCTTCCAGGTTCCCCCCACACATGTCTATGTCTTACAACCGGAAGATGAAGAGGACATGTATGGAGGTGATGGCGGGTATGAAGACGAGGAGGCTTATACAGAGGAGGAGGAGGAGGACGGATGGGAGACAGCGGATGAGGAAGAGGAGGCGGGAGAGATGCAGCAGCTACAGCAGGCGGGTGCAGCTGCAGCAGGTCTCCCCCAGGCCACAGGGAGAAGAGTATTGGCAGCAGTGGCTGCAGTAGCAGAAGCAGCAGCAGGAGGGGGAGGAGGAGGAGGAGCAGCAGGTGCAGGGGCAGGAGCAGGAGGAGCAGGAGCAGGAGTAGCTGGGGCAGGAGTAGCTGGGGCAGTGGATGATTTAGCTGCAAGCCTGCAAGGGTTGCAGAATGTAAAGAATGAGCTGGAAGCGTTTAGCAGGGGGCGCAACTGGTGGGGGGGGGGGAGGAGAGGGGGAAGGGCCGGGGGAAGGGAACGGGGGGACGGGGAAGTGGGGGAAACGGAGGAGGAGGAAGAGGAGGGAGGGGAGAGGGAGGGGGGTGGAGAGGAGGGGAGTGGAAGTGGTGGGAGGAGGAGGAGGGGGAGGAGGAGGAAAGCGGGGGGAGTGTTGGGGGAGGGTGAGGGGGAGAGAAGCAGGGGGGCTGCTGGCAGTGGGGAATCCGCGCAGGCAGGTGCGGGGAGTGACACGAGGGTTGGATTGTCAGAGCGACTGGCTGCAGGGATGACGTCGATTATATCGTTGCTGCAAGAGATAGTACCAAAGCTGGATAGGGGCGAGAGGAAAGGAGGAGAGGATGCGAGGGGTGGAAGGGAGGGAGGAGAGGAGGAGGGGGGCGGAAGCAAGGGGGGAGAGAAGCAGGGGGGCGGAGGGGGAGAGGCGGAGGGGGATGCGCAACAGGCGGGCAGCAAGGGGAAGGGGTTGTTGGAGCAAGAGGGGGAGGGAGAGAAGAAGCAGAAAGCAGATAAACCACCAAGTGAACCCGTAGGGAAACCCTTGGAGGGACCTTTGGGTTTGGGCGCAGGTGGGGGGTTGGGGCACAGGCGTAAGGGGGCGGCAGCAAGTGTGTCAGGTGGTCCGAAGGGGGGTTTGGTAGGAGGGCAAGGTGCGGACGGATCAGGTTTGGCAGCAGGTGCTGCGGAGGGATCCTGTGGTGGTAATGAGGATGGATCAGCGGCTGCTACTGTGGAGGAGACTCAAGGGGAAGGGAGTAGAGGAGAAGGGGAGTTGGGAGCGCGTGGGGCTGAGAGCTCTGCTGGGATTGGTCTGGCTCTGCTGCTGGAGGGACGTGGAGGAGGGAAGGAGGGAGAGAAGAGTGGGGCAGGAGGGGAAGGGGAAGGACGAGAGGGAGTGGGGGAGAGAGGAGGGAGGGAGAGGAGACGGGAAGGAGAGGAGGAACGGTTGGAAGAGGTGGGGGAGAGGGCAAGGGAGGAAAAGATGAATGCAATTATGGAGAGTTTGGGGGTCGGGGGTTTTGTAGTTGATAAACCAGAAGGGGAGGGTCGGGGTGAGGTGAAAGGGGAAGCAGGGGTGGATACGCCGCAGGCAGAAAGCAAGGAAAGTGAGGTGGTGACAAGGGAAGAAACAGGGAGAGGGGAAGGTACAGGGGGTGATGAAGGGACAGGGGGAGACACGGGGGAAGAGAGAGGGGGGGATACAAGGGGAGAAGGCGCAGCAGAAGGGGGAGATGCAGGGGGAGAGGCAAGGGAAAGGGGAGGTAAAGGGAAAGAGGAACGGGAAGGAGACGAAGAAGGGGAAGGAGAAGGGGGAGGGAAAGAAACGGCAGTTTCAGCAGGGGCGGGGGCAGCAGGGACAGGGGCAGCAACGGCAGTGGCGGCGAGTGAGGGCGCATGGCGGCAGTTTGATAGTGTGACTGGCGCTGCCGACCACTACTATGCCTCTCAGACGTTCCAGGTATGCCAGTTCAACCTCCTGCCACGCCACGTTCCCCCAGAGACAGAGAGAAAGGGGGACTTAGCCTCTTCCCTCCTAGCCTCTTCCCCTTCCCCCAGCTATATAATGGCCAGCCGGCACCTTCCCTAGCTCATTATTCATTTGGTGATTCCAAATTTTCCGGTGCTCGTTTCGAGAGAGCGAGAGAGAAAGGGGGACTTAGCCTCTTCCCTCCTAGCCTCTTCCCCTTCCCCCAGCTATATAATGGCCAGCCGGCACCTTCCCTAGCTCATTATTCATTTGGTGATTCCAAATTTTCCGGTGCTCGTTTCGAGAGAGCGAGAGAGAAAGGGGGACTTAGCCTCTTCCCTCCTAGCCTCTTCCCCTTCCCCCAGCTATATAATGGCCAGCCGGCACCTTCCCTAGCTCATTATTCATTTGGTGATTCCAAATTTTCCGGTGCTCGTTTCGAGAGAGCGAGAGAGAAAGGGGGACTTAGCCTCTTCCCTCCTAGCCTCTTCCCCTTCCCCCAGCTATATAATGGCCAGCCGGCACCTTCCCTAGCTCATTATTCATTTGGTGATTCCAAATTTTCCGGCGCTTCGCGCCGGCGGCCTTCGGCCGCCGGCGCTCGCGTGCGCGGCCTACGGCCGCGCATTTTAGGAGGCAAGCTTAGGTAACGGGACAACTTTAGCAGACAGCATGGCGACAAACATCATCAACTAGCAGGCATCATGGAGAAGGTCTACACAAGACAAAGGGGGGCACCTACATGCGGTCCGCCCCCAGAAACGAGAGCATTCCGCGCGTGGTCTGCCACAAGTGGCGGACCACTGACACGCAGGCGGTTAGAGCATCTCCGGGTGTGCCTTCAACCGACCCTGCAATGTGCCTCAGATCCAGGGCCGCGCGAGCCAGCAGGTTGGCCGCGTCTGCACCCGGGGAGGGCGCTGCCTGCAGTGGCGCCAAGAGGGATAGGATCTCATCCGCCGCCCCCAAGCACGCTGCTTGCGGTTTCTCAGCAAATGTGCTCGGGCGGGATATCGGCATCGACGCACGAGTCGACCGGAGAACACGCGCCAGTGCCTCTAGGCACTCCGACAGTATCCACAGCTGACGCAGGGTCGCCGTGGAACATGAATACTCCGCCTCCTCAAGGCGAGGACGAGGGTCACGATACGGACCCCTTGCTGGGCCTCCGCCAGCGCCAACAAAACCCGGGAGAACAGGCGGCTGCTGGACAGAGCGCTGCGGGGACACCGCACGGTTGGCTACCTCGACAATGGCGGGAAGAGAACGAGGAGCGTCTGGCGGAACGGAGCGACAGGCTGTCGCCGCCTGCGACTCACGGAGAGCAGTTGCGAGCACGTCCGGAAGCCTCTCCAGGGCGCGCGCAAAGTCCGACGCAGACTGGCGACCCCCGCCCCCGCGTCCGCGGCCCCCGCGACTGCCACGCCGCCCACGACTATTCGACCACGAGCGGGCTGGAGATTGGGGCCGGGACGTGCTGCGCGGGCGGAGCGCAGGGGATCGCTCACGACGCGATGGAGAATGGCGCCGCTGGCGCTTCACCGGCGATTCGCGCGGAGAACGGCGAGCAGGAGAGCGACGCCCTGAGGATCGGCGCGCGGGTGAATGACAGCGAGGCGAATGGCGAGATGGGGAACGGTGACTTGGCGAACGACGCCCAGGGGAACGGCTGCGGCTCCCCTGACGACGAGGGGAGCGACGCTCGCGGCGATCTTCACGCCGCCCCTCGCAGCGTTCGTCACGAGGCTCAGGCGTCCGACGACGCGGAGAACGCCCCCGGTGCGGCTCCGCCAAGGCGCCAGAACGCACAGCGGACTCCGCGCGGGTTGCCACTCTCGGAGGCGAATCAGCGACGCGCGGCCCGGGAGGACGGCGCTGGTCCTCAAATCGGCGCCGGATTTGGTCCGCAGCAGCGGGAGGACGAGCAGGAACGCTCACCGCCGGGCGTGGCGGAAGCACAGGTGCACTCTCCGCGGTACACTCGCGGTCGTGGGCGGACGGAAGCGCCATCTGCGCAAGCACAAGGCGCAATTCCAACACAAGGGGAGCCTACAACCCCGACTTTCCCCACGCAACAGGCGGCGCTAGCAGCAGGGACCCCGCAGAGCGGACGGGGAAGCGCGCGGGGGAGAGGATCGCAACGAGGAGCGCGCGGAGGACAGAGGAGCGCAGGTCAAGCGGCGAGGGGGCGCGGGCGCCAACCACCGAGCCCAATCTGGCTAGGGGAGCCGGCGGAACGAATCACGCTAGGCGCGGGGCGAGAGGTGGTGCACCAGCGCAAGCAGGGAGGAACGTCGATATCATCAGAGAGGCGAGAGACGAGGACTATATACCGTCAGATCTGAGGCAACCAGACAATCCCGACTCACCTCGCGCGGAATCAGGAGAGGAGGTGGCGCAGCAACAGGAGAGAGGAACCAACCGCAGACAGCAGCGCAGAGCCCAGCCCCCACCGGACCAAGCCCTATCTGCGTCCCAGCTGGCCTCGCGGGAGGATCTTTTCCAGATCGCGATGACCTGGGACCTTACGCTCCTAACATCCATCACCCACCAACCAATCGTCCGCCGACTGCCGCCGCAGATCCTCAGCGACTACTCCACCTGTATGCTGGCTGCCTTACTACGGATCTCAAAGCTGCCTAATTGCGCGGGAGCGTGGCGGGTCCTCATGTTCCTGCCACGTCTCACGCTAAGACTTAGCCGGAGATCCAGCTCTAGGTGGAAACTGCTGCGGGCACAGATGCATCTATTCCGATGTGGACACTGGACCCAGCTGTACACCGAATACTTGGGGTCAATGCACCTGGCCGAACCACCTCAGCACCAACGTGACCCGCTGGGAATCTGCTCACGTGCGGAGGGGTTGGTGAAAAGGGGTAACCTGCGAAAGGCGTTAGCGGCCCTTCAACCCTCGCCATCAGCACCGGCGACATTCGCGACACTGCAGCAGCTGGAATCGAAACACCCCCAACCCCAAAATGACCTGCCCGACTGGGTCCACTCCTACACGACACCCACACAATTTTCAACCACCCTGGAAAGCTTTTCGGACGTCCTCGGGGAATGCCCCAGGGGAATTGGGGCTGGCCCATCGGGGTCAACCTTCGAACACTACCGCGATCCAGCGCCAAGTAACATCGAGGTACTAGGGCACCTCCACTCCGCCGTTAAACACCTTCTCTCGACAAACCTTTCCGCCGAGGTTGCAGCCCTACTCGCCCCGTCCCGCCTTATAGCCTTCGCCAAACCAGGGGGGGGGGTACGCCCAATCGCGATTGGAGAAACATTGCTTAGGCTGGCGGCGAAAGTGGCACTCTCAGACCTGCAAGGAGAAACGCGAAAAAATTTCCTACCTCAGCAATTTGGCGTGGCAGTCCCGGGAGGTGCTGAGTTCGTCATCCATGCAGTCAGAGACCTCACCACCGCGCAGCCCTCCAGCCTAGTCCTCCAACTCGACATTGAGAACGCGTTCAACTCAGTCGAGAGGAGCGCGTTCTTCAACGCACTTATCGGCTCCCCGCTAGCCCCCCTCATCCCCTTCACACGCTCTTTCTACGCATCAGCATCACCGCTGCTGCTGGATCCATGCTTCAATTCCACGGCACTCACCAGCGGAAGAGGAGTCAGACAGGGGGATCCCCTCGGACCCCTGCTATTCGCGGCGTCTATCCAGCAGCACCTCAGACACGTGGCAGCGGAGCACCCGGAAGTCACCGTCCTCGCGTACGCAGACGACATAACCATGATTGGACCCGCGACGGCGACGCTAGACGCGCTAAGGGAGCTCACGCCGCTACTAGCACAGGATGGCCTCACCTGCAACTTTATGAAGTCGTCGGCGTGGTCCTCCATGCCGCTTGGAGGTGTCGTGCTCCCTGAAGGCCTCCCCCACACCCACGAGGGGGTACGGGTGTTGGGAAGTCCTGTGGGGTCGCAGAGCTTCTGCTCTGCCTTTGTCCGCAGTACACTGACAGACGCGGCAGCCCCCTTGGGTTCCCTGGCGTCCATCCACCCACAACATGCCCTCCTGCTACTGTCCCGTTGCATCAGCCGCAGAATCGGCTACCTGCTACGCACTACCCCAGCAGACGTCTTACCCCTCTCGGAATGGCACACATGGTGCTCCGAACTACTGCACACGGCCTTGACCGCCGCCAGCATTCAACCGCCACGCCGAGAAGCCGAGTTCAACTTCCTGCTCCGACAAGCAACTCTTCCAGTCGCCCTGGGCGGGCTGGGACTTACAGACCCCACAACAGAAGCAGCACCGGCCTACCTGGCATCAACGACGGAGGCGCTACGACTGCTCCGCTCCCTTGACCTACCAGCAACCGCGGCACTGGGGGCCAACAACAACACCCTGCAGCCGTCCGCAGCGCACTCAGTAACCATCCAGGACATGGAGGGGCGCCTGCCACCGCTGGCGCTACAAAACCTCCGGGAGGAGCAGCAAACCCCGTCCCAAGACCAGCTGCAACGCGCCCTCTCTCAGGAGGTGCACGCGGCAAAGGCCGACGCCTTGACAGAGGAGTCACGCACCATCCAGTCAGCCCCCGAGATGGGTCACTCACTCCGCCTCATCAGCCTGAGAGGGGAGGGAGCGGGAGCATGGCTGCAGGCCCTACCTTTGACCCCGGACGTTTGCTTCTCACCGGGACAATTCCGAGCAGCCCTGGCCTTCCGCATGGGCATCCGACAGAATGTACCCACTGTGTGCGAGTGTGGAGAACTCGTAGCCGACTGCAGCCTACCCAACCACCTACTCCGCTGCAGCACAGGCCCCGACAGGACACGCACACACAACCAGCTAGCTTTTGCCGTGGCTAAAATGGCAAGGGAAGCACAGCTGGTGGTATACCTGGAGAACGCCATGTACTCACCGCCGGATGACCCGAAGAAAGCCGATGTGATTGTACGCGACCTGGACAGTGGAGAGACTTGGATCACAGACACCACTATCACAGACCCCGTGCTGCAGAACCGGGACCCCACAGCCCGCAAACCCCCAGGCTGGGCTGCTAGAGAGGCACAGAGGCGGAAGGAGAGGGAGTACTACCGACACACGGAACACGTGGTGTTCTGCGCCCTAGCCGTCGAGACCTACGGGGCAAACGCGCCCACCACGACTGCGTTCCTGAAGCTGCTGGCCACAGCAGCAGCTAGGAACCGGTTCAGGGCCAACCCCCTGGCGAAATCGGCCAAGAAGATGGCCTGCCACTTCAGCCAGCGCTGGTCAGTGGCCCTCCAGCGCTCCCAGGCTAATGCCCTGCACACCAAGGCCAGGGCTGGGATCGAGGCAGCGCACCCCCAGATGGCAGCGGACCCCTGGCCGCTGCACCTGGGGGACATCCTCCACACGCTGGAGGGCTAGAGGGTCACTCAGGGGGGGGGGTGAAGAGTGGTAAGTTTTGGGGCTTAAGGGATAGAGGTTATCATGGATAGCACCGCATGTTTGTACCCCTGCTGAATTAATACAAAGGACCGTTTGAGAGTGAGGGCGCATGGCGGCAGTTTGATAGTGTGACCACTACTATGCCTCTCAGACGTTCCAGGTACGCTGCTGCCGCCACCGCCTCCGCCTCCTCCCATGCATCTCTTGTGATGCAACTGTGTTGATGTTACTTTTGAGAATTCTCAAAAGTTACATCAACATCGCCTCTTCCCATGCATCTCTTGCAGTGCAGCCTTCTGAGGTTTCCCGCTCAATGGTTGTTATTTGTCTTTTTAGAATCTTGCCTCCCCCTCTCTTCTCCCTCCCACCTCCTGCCTCCCACTTCCTCCCTCCCACCTCCTCCCTTCCGCCTTCTCCCATTCACCCCTTGCAGCCGGGCAATCGCAAGTGGGCCAAGGCTGTGCACAAGGACTGGGAAATCCTCCAGACCAACCTGCCAGGTACGGAACAGTCTCCGAACCAGCCTGGGCATGTGTATGGAGGTGGGCCAGGGAGCTGTAGAGGGGCGATTGTGACTATATTGAGGGACTGTATTGTTGATAAGGTCCCTCAGGAGCAGCCATGTTTTGCTCCTCTTCACCTGCCTCCACCCCTCGCTCGCCCCCATTTTCCTTAACCAAACTCCATCTTTATTGAGGCGATTTTTGCAGTGGCCACTCAGACTCCATCAGCGTGCGTGTGTACGAGGACCGCATGGACCTGCTCCAAGTGGCCATTGCAAACCCTTCGCCCTGTGTACTGCTCATCTCTCCACCCTCTCCACCCCTCTCCACCCCTCTCCACCTCTCTAAAATTTCCTCCACCAGACTCCATCTCGGTGCGTGTGTACGAAGACCGCATGAATTTGCTCCGAGTGGCAATTGCAAGCCCTACGCCTCTGTATCTTCTCATACCCCTCTTCACCCCTCTCCACCCCTGTACACCCCCCCCCCACCAGACTCCATCAGCGTGTGTGTGTATGAAGACCGCATGGACCTCCTTCGTGTGGCCATAGTCGGACCGCCAGACACCCCGTACCACCTCGGGCTCTTTTTCTTTGACATCTGGCTTCCCCCAGACTACCCTGCTGTACCGCCGGTAAGTGTTGTTGCACTCACTGTAGGGCAGACACACACATACTCAACACACCCCCTACCACCTCGGGCTCTTTTTCTTCGACATCTGGCTTCCCCCTGATTACCCTGCTGTACCTCCTGTGAGTGTGTGTCTCACTCACTGTAGGGCAGACACTCACCCAACACGCCTTACCACCTCGGGCTCTTTTTCTTCGATATCTGGCTTCCCCCAGACTACCCTGCTGTGCCCCCGGTGAGTGATATTCATTCCCCCCATCCCTTACTCACATCAACTCCCACCACCTCGGGCTCTTCTTTTTCGACATCTGGCTTCCCCCCGACTACCCTGCTGTGCCGCCTGTGAGTCTGTGTCTCACTCACTGTAAAGCACCAGGCACACACAGACACCCCGTACCACCTCGGGCTCTTTTTCTTTGACATCTGGCTTCCCCCGGACTACCCTGCTGTACCGCCGGTAAGTGTGTGTCTCACGCGCTGTAGCACCAGGCCAGACACACCCAACACGCCCTACCACCTCGGGCTCTTTCTCTTCGATATCTGGCTTCCCCCGGACTACCCTGCTGTGCCACCTGTGAGTGGGACAGACTGTCCAACATGCCATGCAGTCAGTGGTGTGGTGTCTCACTCACTGTAGCACCACACTCCCAACGCCCTTTACCACCTCGGGCTCTTTCCTTCGACATCTGGCTTCCTCCTGACTACCCAGCCGTGCCACCTGTGAGTGGCGTGGCACCCTTGGAATCACAGAATATATATATGTATAATATATATATATATGTACGTATATGAATATCTGTATGTATATGTATGTATATATGTGTGTATAAGTATGTGGTTCAGCCTGCCAAGCTCTGGTGTGGACACGCACACAGCAGCACCAGCACCCCCTGTTACTTTCCTTCGATTACAAGGGTAAAACCCCTTCCTTTTGAGTCGACTCAAAAGTGGACACGCACACAGCACAGCACCCCCTGTTACTTTCCTTCGATTACAAGGGGAAAACCCCTTCCTCCCATCATCTTCTACCTCCCTTGTCCCCTTTCCCCCTGCCAGTCCGTGCATTACCCTGTCTGTCAGGCGGTCTCAGGGTGGACCCTAAATACGAGAACGGCAGGGTGTACCTGTCGCTGCTCAACACACGTTTTGTGTGTTATCTCTCAAACCCCTCTCCCCCTCTTCTTCCCTCTCCCCCCTCCCACCTGCCAGTCCGTGCGCTGCCACTCAGGCGGTCTCAAAGTGAACCCAAACCTGTACGAGAACGGCAGGGCCTGCCTGTCGCTGCACAACGCTTGGTGTGTGTTATCTATCAACCCCTCCCTCCCCTCTTCCTCCCCACCCCGTCCCCCCACGTGTCAGTCCGTGCACTACCACTCAGGCGGCCTTAGGGTCAACCCAAACCTGTATGAGAACGGCAAGGTGTGCCTGTCGCTGCTCAACGCTGCTCTCCGCTCTTCCTCCCCACTTCGTCTCCCTGCCATGCCAGTCCGTGCACTACCATTCAGGAGGCTTGAGAGTGAACCCGAACCTGTACGAGAACGGCAAGGTGTGCCTATCGCTGCTCAACACATGGGGAGGCAAGGGCACGGAGGTCTGGAACCCAGGCTCCTCTATATTGCAGGTGGGTGTTTGTGGGAATAGAAGGATGGTGGTAGTGAGTGCTTTGAATGGGTTACTCATTATTTCAATCGAGTGCAGTGAGTGTCTGTCGTTGTGCAGTGAGTGTCTGTCGTTGCAAGGGCACGGACGTCTGGAACCCGGGCTCGTCCATTCTGCAGGTGGAGGCAAGGGCACGCAGGTCTGGAATCCCGGCTCCTTTATTCTGCTGGTGCATGAGTGGCAGGGGTGTGGCAGGGGTACCAAGATTGGGTCCCTAGTAGTGCCGTTGCTTTATTGTCTACTCCCTGCTGCCCTGTCTGTACATCTCTCCCCACCATCCCCCTCTGGTGCTCGTGTCTTTCCAAGGCCTTGTGCTCCTCGTGCCAACAGTCCTCTGCCTGTTCCCTGCCCTCCCCCTCACACACCCCCCTTCCCCTCCCTCCCAGGTGCTCGTGTCAATCCAAGGCCTTGTGCTCGTGCCACGGCCGTATTTCAACGAGGCGGGGTACGAGAGGCAGAGGGGCAGTGCAGAGGGGGAGAGGAACGCTGATCTTTACAACGAGAGCGCCTTCCTCTTGTCGGCCAAAACCATGATCTACTCAATTCGCAACCCTCCCAAGGTATGGCTGGGCTGATATGGGGACTTCTGTGTTGACTTGGTAGTGTTTCGGTGGGGTTTGGGCATGAGAGGCAGAGGGGCAGTGCAGAGGGGGAGAGGAACGCAGATCTGTACAATGAAAGCACATTCCTTCTGTCAGCCAAAACCATGATCTACTCAATTCGCAACCCTCCCAAGGTATGGCTGGGCTGATATGGGGACTTCTGTGTTGACTTGGTAGTGTTTCGGTGGGGTTTGGGCATGAGAGGCAGAGGGGCAGTTCAGAGGGGCAGTGCAGAGGGGGAGAGGAACGCTGATCTCTATAACGAGAGCGCATTCCTGCTGTCGGCCAAACCATGATCTACTCCATTCGAAACCCCCCCAAGGTATGTGTTGATGTGATTGGATCAGCTTGAGAGCTCTTCAGTGGACTGGTCTATTGTTGACCGGAAAATGTATCTACTCCCAGGACAAGGAAAGTATGAAAAGAACAAGGACTGCAACCCCTGAAGGTACTGTCCTCAAGTGATGCATCTGCTTGGCGTTTCCCTAGTTGATTGGAAATTCGTATTCACTCTGTTCATGTCAGTGCATGCCATATCAGTCCATGTCATGTCAGCCTTGCTGCACATATGCCCAAGGGGTTGGAGTGTGTGAAATCAGTACTGTCTGATTCTTTACTACTATTATTATTATTATTATTACTATTACTATTACTATTATTATTAGTATTATTAGTATTTGTATTGTTATCTTCCACTCCCCTTCCCTTCCACTCCCCAGCACTTAGAGCCCCTAGTGGCGCTTCATTTCAAGCAGCATGCTGCCGCAATCCTTGCTCTGCGTGACACATACGTACAAGGGACTAGAGTGTGTGTGTGACATCAGTCATCTGTTCCCCCCCCTCCGCCCCCTTTCCTCCCCACATCAGCACTTTGAACCTTTGGTGGCACTGCACTTCAAACAGCATGCTGCTGCCATCCTTGCTCTGTGCGACACATACGCTCAAGGGACCAAGGTGTGTCCACTCAAGGCTGCAAGCAAGGCAAGCCCAGCTGCTGTCAAAGACACAACAAGTTCATCTGCTAAGGACACTGCAAGCCGACCCGATTCTGACAGCACGAGTGGCTCCGAGGGTGTTCAGCAGCAGCAGGAGGGTTCGATGGGACAGCAGGGAGAGGCTAGGCCTGCTGATGCGGTGCTAAGCGGTGGTGGAGGTGATGATGGGTGTTCGGCTGGATTCAAGATAATGCTGGGGAAGCTGCGTCCGCAGCTGGAATTAGCCTTGGCACGGGTTTTGAAGGGAAAATGATGTGTTTCTCTGGAGGTGACCAAGTTGGCTTGGATGATGTTACATGAACAGTAAGAAGTTACCATGTTATGCATAAGTGGTGGTTATTGTAAATGTTCTCTGCAACCCGGGACAGTCACCAATGCGTACATACCGTATTTGCTGGGAAGTCGGGACGGGATGTGCTCGGTATAGGGTAGTTGAAGTAATGGATGAGAATTGGATTAAATATACTGCAAGACCGAGAAGTGATGTGAAGAAGATACCATGCCTTATGCTTATCTAGCCCTCTATGGCTAACCTGAATAAAGTAAATAACATTTTTTTGGGATTTTGTGTACATGAAGGAAAAGTTCAGGGGATGAGTTAGAGACTAACCCAACCCATATGACAAAGCAGCTAACTCTAAGAAAGAAGTGGGAGAGTACGGTAGTGTAGAACTGCTACGGTAAAAGAGGGCCTAATGAGATGAGGGATGAAGGGAAAAAACGCAAGAAAAAAACCCATCAGCACTCTGGGTGAGTGACTGCTCTTGATCCATGTCCCCCTGCTGTGCGCCCCAGCCCAGCCCCCCAAAAAAAACGCCCTGCCGGGATACTGCTCTGCTTCACCAGATATTGCCCTTCGCCTTTGGCTCAAGGCACACTTCGGCAGAGCGAGCAGGTGTCAGTTGCACACTGTCAGTTGTTTTCTTTAAAGCCTGAGAGGCGAGAGAAACTGGAGACACGTAACTTGGTAACTTATTAGAGAGATCTGTTTGCAGGCCCAGCCACAGCTGCAACTTCTGTTCCAGCTAACCCTGTCTACTGCTACAAACCACCTAGCTGTTGCTGCTGCTGATGCAACTTACCCAGCTTCTGCCTTGAAGTGCTGCCACTCACAGACGCTACCTCAGGAAGGAAGGTTGATGGGGAAGAGGTTAAGTCCATGGCTAGAACCCAGCTGCTCTGCCTGAGATTCGAACTCGCCCAGGGCGTGCTGTGAAAATGCCCTAGGGTTTAGGGTTCTGGGACACCCGTTTTGTGACAACCGGCTTGGACCGTCACAAGTTGAAACCCCTGCTTGTCACCGCTACCTTCTGACACTTAAGCATTTCACGCATCAAACGACTGCTGCCACTACCTTCGTCCCTCCGTAAGTCTAGAACCAGAAAAGCCCTTCTCCTGTTTCAACGCTAGCCTGGCCTGGCACGACCCCTGGTATCCTAAACAGCTTCTTCCTTGAGGAACGAGGCAGCAGCCGCCATGGCTTCCGCAGAGCAAAACAGCCCAGCAGGATAGTCCGTCAGCGATAGGAGACCTTCGTCGTCACCATCACCATCAACCCCAGCAGCTGCAGTAAGCATGTCAGCATCCGCTAACGCAGCAAAAGCGACTGGTGCGCCATCCGAGCCAGCTGCGTCAGCTGCTACAACATCCCCAGCACCAGCAGCACCAGCGGCGGCCGCGGCAGCAGCGGCAGCAGTGGAGGCAGGCATGCGGATGCCCTGGCGGTTGAGCTCGTCCAAAACGCCGTCCAGCGACGGAGGCTTGAGGCCCAGCGGCAGCGGCGTGGCGGGGTTGGTGAGCGCCTCGCTGATGGCCGCGTCTAGAATGTCGTTGGCCTGTGGGGAGGAGCGGAGGGAGGGGGGGAGATGGGGGAGGAGGGGAGAGGGGGAAAGGGAAATTGGTACATGAGTGAACTGACCACAGTGGGCACAAGACCCTTGGAAGCTTGAGCCCCAGAGGCAGCGGTGTGTCTGGGTTCGCGAGCGCATTGCTGATAGGGGCAACACGGATGTCGTTTTCGTGAGAACGCGAATGACAACATTCAGCACATGCTCCCCGCTTCCCGCCCTCCGTACCCTGCCCCCTGCCCCCGCTCCCTGCTCCCCGCGCTCCTCACAACTCAAGACAATGCAAATAATGTCATTCAGTGCACGCACTCGAACACGCATCTCCAGCTCACCTCATGCAAATCGTCCCCGATGCTAGCTGAAATCGCAGCAAGGTCCACCGTCAGATCATCCGAGAGCGGAAACATCGGATTCGGCATCGCCTCATCTGCCACGTGTGCCGCGACACCCGCCCCCCCGTCTCCCCCGCCTCCCCCTCCTCCCGCTCCGCCCGCCGCTCCAGACTGCATAGCCCCCATGCCCCACCCGTGCCCCGGGGAGGGGCCGAAACCGGGCGCGTGCGGGAGACCGGGCATCATGGGCATTCCTAGGAAGGGGGACGGCGGAGGCATCATGGCAGGGGCCCCGTTCGCGTGGCTTCCGGAGGGAGGCGCGGCGGCATGCGGATAGCCGTTGGGCGGCATGCCGTTAGGCGGACAGACAGGCGCGCCGCAGACCATGCCAGGAGGACCACTGGCAGCGCCGTTGGGAGGGCCATTGGGCGGCATGGGGTAGCTGAGCGGGTGCTGGTGCTGGCGCGGGGGGAAGCAAGGCATTCCGCGCGCTGGCATGCCGGGATGGGGCCACGCGTCCATCGGCGGAGGACCCGCGGGGAACTGCAGGCGGTGGGAGAGGGGGGAGGGGGAGTGGCGCAGGGAGGGGGAAAAGGGGGAGTGGCGCAGGGAGGGGGGGAAGGGGGAGTGAGGGAGAGAGTAAGAAGCGGAACCGACATTGTGGTAGAAGGACGAGCGAAGGATAGTGTAAGGATATAAAAAGCAGGGTGAAGCGGGAATAAGCGGGAGGGAGGGGAGTGGATGGGAACGGGGGGGATTGGGGTGCGCAGTTACAATAAAGTACAGATTGCAAGTACACGTTGTGAGGATGGCGACGAGGTTGAAAGGTTAGTCGTACCGCGGGGTAGTGGTGCCACGGAGAGGAACCATCAACGGCCAGCCACGAGGGAGGCGGGTACGCCGCCACGCGCGGCTGCATCTGCTGCTGCGGCTGCTGCTGTGCCTGACACTGCTGCTGCTGCTGTTGCTGCTGCTGCATATGTCCCCACATGTGCGGCCGCGGAAAACCGCCCGGCGACGCTCCCCCGGTCGTCGGATGGCCCCATACCGGCATGCCCATGGCAGGCGGCGGGTGCGGCATCATGGGGCCCATGGCAGGCGATGATTGATGCGGATGCATCATCGGCATGTTGCCGTACGGCTGATGGCGGAACGGCATCGGCGGGCACGGAGGCATCATGCCGGGCATTTGGCGAGGCGGCATCATGGCGGCAGGATGACCCGTCGGAACCCCATGCGATACACCACCCGGAGAGCCATTGGGAACGCCATTTGCTACCGCATTTGCCGGAGTACCACCACCGCTAACGGCCGCACCCGCAGGTGGGACTCCGGGACCCCACGTGGATCCCGATGCTCCAGGCGTTCCCGCCGGAGCAGCAGCGGCAGCAGCAGCGCCAGCCGGCCAGGCGCCGGCGGAAGCGCCGGAATCCGCGGGTGCGCGGTTGGTGTGCCAGTTGGCGGCTTCCGCGTCCCGCGCAGCGAGATGGCGGCGGTGCGAGCGGTACTTTTGGAGATGGCTGGCGATGTTGTGGCGAGTGAGGGACTTGACGCCCATGAGCTCGAGAATGCGGGAAGGGATCGCCTTGTCCACTCCTAGCTGCTCCACCGCTTGCACGAACCTTCTGTGAAGCTCCGGCGTCCAATCCACCTGAATGTGGAACGGAGGCGATGAGAATGGGGAGATACGGAATGATGACAAGAATGAGGAGCTGTGGTGTTCTGACGGAATGCGAAGATCATAGCAGACAAACAGACGACGCACGCTGCAAACCAATAAGACGACGTTGATCGATCAATGTGAAGAAGAACAAAGACCATCAGACGCATGAAAGTCGCCACGCTTCATAACAAAAGCCAGAAATTTTTTACTGACCTTGGGTTTTTTCTTCTGCGCTGGGCTCTTGCTGGTGTCCTTGGAAGTCATGTCGCTTTGCTCATTCAGGTGCAAATCTGAATGAAACGTCTCCGACGGTCGAACATCCTCGGTAACAGCAGGTTCACGTTTCACTTCAGTCGCTTCGCCAGACGGCTTGTCCAGAAGCGTATCCTCAGGATCGGGTAACTGCAGGTTCCCCAAGTTACCAGGTACATCAAGATCGTCGATTTCGCCAGCTCCTAGAGGATCGACCGAAAAATCAGGCCACGTGGAGATATCGCATCCGTCCAGCATTTCCGGACTGTCTTCACACGCATTTCCGATCTCAGCCCTGTCTTGAAATGTATGATCAGCGGCGATGTCTTTCGCGGAAGCTCCGTCCGATTCAACGGCTCCTACTGGACGCTCTTCAACCAAGCAAGAGCTCATCGATCCTCCTTCAGTACCCTTGCTGTCATCCCCTTGAGAAGCCGTATCGGCTTCAACTGCCAGAGTTGCCTCGGCGACGTTCGACGATCGTCGAGCTTTTGCCTTCAGGTCAACCTTACTCCCATTCCTTTTCGTCAAAACAGGATGCTTCTTGGCGATCGAGGTTTCGCGAACACCCAGGTAAGCACCGTAATCGACGCTGGATCGTTCCCTGGAAGCGTTGCCAGAAGCTGACTGGCCGACATCCTTGTCAACTCCAGCGCCTCCCGTCTGACTGGCCCTGGCATTCAAAACACAGGCCATCGTTCTGGCTGCTTCTGACGTGACAATGACACCGTGTCGACCAGGAAGTACTGAATAATAACGTTATAGCTTGTAGCGTGAGAATATAGTGCAGTAACGGCTGTGAAAAGCAGAAAGGAATAATGACTGCAGACTTGGGGTTAGGTAGCAGTAATGTGATGCACTCGCTCAATTCGCCACGTGGAGATGGTATTGATATGGTTATTACCCTACAGAAGAAGATGTAGCCGAAACGACCACTAGGGTCGGATGTTACTGATCGTTCAATCTGGGAGAATTGATAATCGCTCTAGTGAAAGAGAGTTGAGAAAGGAGAAAGGAGTGAGACACTGCTGTGTCATGACACTAAGAGGGTGAAGCATGTGAAAGTGCTAGAGGAACGAAGTAAGCTGTCTGACAGAGAAAGAGTAGTACAGAAGTTCAGGAAATGAGAGGATAGCAGAAGAAAGGGGAGGAGAGGAGTGGACTAGGAGGAAGAAGAGTGGAAAGAGATTTAGAGGAGTGGAAACTGAGATGACGAGCAGGATGCAGCATTATACAGGAGGGATGGCATGGAAGTTGGCTGGGGAAAGGGATGCAGGGCGAAGGGATGGCGGATGCATGTTTTGCTGGATTGAGATGACTGCTTTTGCGACGGCTTTTGCGACGATAGATACCCTTTGATTCCTTCAGATACTGGTCGCTTGGAATCCTGCGACAGTGAATGTTTGCTGGATTGTTGTTTCGCTGTCGCTGAACGCGTCGTCGTAGCAAATTGTGACCCCAATCTTCTTGGTTTATGTCGTCCAACTGCTGGCTGGACTCTACTGACAAACATTGGGGGTGATCGTCCAACTCCCTGCGAAGAAAGTAGGCAAAAAAGGTGTTTCCGTGCTCTCCTTGACGCGCCGCACGATGGCAGATGTGACCAGTAATGTCCTTACATGTCTGTAGTGCAGATCCGCGTGCAATGCCCGGAGGACCTTTGACTCCAGGCAGACCCGAAACGAAGGTGTGAAAATGAATTGACTGCCCAAAAGTGGTATCAAGAGGAAGTGCAGTAACAACATTCGGGATTTTTCTAAAGCAACGTTGAAAGAATTTCAGTACAGTAACCGAATTCCAAACAATGAACTTTGTGTGTCTGTGGAAGAACGGTCAGTTGAAAGTAATGATGCGGTGCAAGCTGTGTTGCACAAGCAGAACCAGTAATTGTGTCCAGATCCCGGGCATCACGGTCTACACTTCGACTATGGCCTTCCTCTAGCGAACAAGCAGCAGTTGACTATAATGTACCGTGGATGGTCAAGCATCAAAGCCCTTAGAGACCGAAAAAACTTCATTCCTGACCAGAAAATAATATGAAAGGATGTAATGATCAGGGGGTATCACGTGACTTGAATTATCACACCTTTGTTTCTGACGTCATTCCAGCCCAAGATCACTCCCACCACCTCCACCCAGTCCACATACAGCAGCAACCTCTTCCCTGCACACACATCCGTTTGAACCCATCCAGTCCAATGGCATCCTCTGACCACAGAAATTGGGAGCTCCTGTGGTCCTTGAAAGGGCCCAGAAGGCAAACAGATCAGCGGAAATATCTGCCAGCTCGTAAGGTGCCTCGATAACAAAATCACTCTGTCTACATAGTGTTCATACCTGCCAGATTCTTGTTCCTGATATTCAGCTGCAAATGAGAATTAGAGGGGTGGTGAATATTGCTACTATTGCAATCGTGGTAAATATACACACATCCCCGAGGGCAATGTATTGTATGGTTCTTACGGGAGTTCTATAAAACGTGGGAACCTCCAGGGACACGTTGGGGTGTGGGTCTGGTCTGGATGTCTGGTATGACAGTGAAGCTAGATGCCATGGATAGCGAAGAATTTGGGTGGAGAAACCACTCCACTTCCAAGAGTTCGAGTCGCCGAGTATCACACCGGCGATACTGACAAATATTCCACACGAGTCTACGTCATATTTGCACGAAGGCTATAACATGGGAACGCAGCCAGGGTGACGTGTATATGCAAATAACGGTGGCGGTACTGTGTTCCTTGGCTTGAGTTGGCGTGGCGTGGCAGTACTGACCAAATTAGCCATATCAGACTCAAGATCTAGCACTATACTCAATAAAAGAAAAACATTCACAAGCAAGGTACCGTATCTCCAACCCCACCCACTACTGTATAACATCCCTACAGTACCGTGAAAAGGCATGGTAAACTAGCTACCAGCCAAACTTTACACTGCCGCGACGGCTCGGGTTGCAAAGCACTTGCAATACCCTGAAAACAAACAAATGATTTTCCGTAATACAGTAGACGGCCATTATAATAAACCTGTGTATGCTCAGCCTCCTGCTCACACAGGCCCTGATAGACTGATTGATCCACTGTTCCAATCATAATGAGCCTTAAGCTTCGCCACGCGTCTCCGGGTCTCTGGCGACGGCATATCCACAGAGTTCTGCCGTCTCGGGGGCGGCATCGGCACAAACTTTGGCGAAACTGAAACTTCGCTGCTGCCCGACCACTCGGGCAGCTCCTGCTCCAGGAGCTTGGAAAAATCATCCACCACCGGGCAGTCAGAGAATCGGCGCACGTGGACGACTGCACTGAACGACACGCGCCGTGCATGTCTGGATGGCTTGGGTGACGGCTTTTGCATGAGGTCAGGCGCGGTGAGGCAAGTCGCAAGACCAACAACCGTGGGACTCAGGCTCCTGGCGTTGCACTGAGACTCTTCGCTAGGACTTCTGACTGGGCTCAGGCTCCCCACTGCGGTGCTGCTGGGTGGGTTGCGGTTCGGGCTGGCGCGCTCCGGCTGGCGATAAGCTGGAGCAGGTAGGGGGACGTCTCTGCCCGGGACTGACGAGCTTCGGAACATATGGCGGGACGAAGCGGCTGCATGAGGAGGCGGTGTGTGGGAGGAGGGGCCGTGGGTGGGGATCACAGGTGCTGCTTGAACTGCTGACTGAGTTGCTGCCTCCGGCTTGCTAGGAGCGGTGGTGCTAGTATCCCGAATGTGATGAGCTGGCATCACAGCTGAAGCCGGGGAAACGCCACCGGATCCGCGCTGCTGGTGATACCGCTGAACCTCCATAAGAGAAACGGAGTGTCTACGTGCATGCCGCGGAGCCTCGGGCGGCCGCCTCTGATCCCCGCCGGACACAACGCGGCCGCTGCTGCCGCTGACGGCACAGCTGTTACTTCTGTTGCCGACAAACATTGCGTTCCGCGCTGCGGGGTTCCCCGGGCTGGCCGCGGAACCGCCTCCGCCTCGTCGCTGCATGATGAGCAGCCGGTCGCTCGTCATCGACCGATGCAGGCGCGACGCCGAAGTGGTCGGAAGCGGAGGATGCGCCGCAGCGCCCGCGGGACCCGCGGACGAGAACGCTCCGCGCGAGGCCGTTGCGGATGACGCCAGGGATGTAGCAGCTGCAGCCGGCGACGGGGTTGTAGCAGGCGAGGCTGCTACAGCCGAGGAAAAAAAGTTGGGGGTGCTGACGTGACGGCAGGAGGTGAGAGGGGAAATTGCGGTATTGTCGCCACTGTTGCTCATTCCGCCGCTGCTACTGCTCGTGCTGCTGCAAGCGCTTCCCGTGCTCCATGGGGAAAGAATGCTGCTCGGACTACTATCCGTGTTCGAGCTGCTACCAAAAGTTTTAGCAGCCGCGTCGCTGATCGACGACCACTCCTCCGTCGTAAGCTCCTTCGCGCGACGCCGGCGACAGGATTCGCCCGTCGCGGCCGTGCCGTCCTCGCTGAACCGCCTCCCCGAGCGACTGACGGATGCGCGACGGATCGGCGCGTCCTGAGCGATGATCGATCTAGCAATCGCAGAGTCTGCGTTCGCGCTTCTCGCGCTGCTCGCGCCTTCAAGGAATTCCGCGCGCTTCGCGGTTCCCGTGTCAGGCGTAGTAAGAGAAAAAAGTTTCGCGGAGGAAGCCACCCATGAGTCCAAGGCGATTCGGGATGTCGGCGCGGTGGGGGTTTTGCGGGAAGGAGCCGTCAGCGCGCGACGAACCGCGACGCGTTCCTTCGCCAGCTGCTGACCGTGGCCGATGCTGGTGGTGATTTCAGCGGCGAAGACGGGGGAGGCGTCATTGTTGCGAGCCGCGAGGAGCGACTCAAGGCGGAGTGGCGCATCGAGATGCCAGCTACGCCGCTGCCAGAGCTGCTGCAGCTGCTGCTGCTGATGAAGTTTTGAATCTGGATCTTGCGCAATATGCGGAATGATCGGATAGTGATCTGCAGCCGTTGCTCGCACGGTGTCCTCGGCGGCGGCGCGGTCCGTCAGAAACGAACCTTGTGTGTCCATTTGGACGAAACACATGATACTAAGAGATAGATCTGGAATATAAGCAGATTACGACACCTGCGAAAAAAATTGCGAAGATTTAAAGACGATTCCCGAGTTAAGGAATGAACCGTGTGAGAGAGGAAGAGAAGCGAGAACCTTTCGGGGATGTTGGAGAAAGCGAACACTGCATTGAACAGATGTGCTGGGCGACGACGTTCTAACTTCAATGGTGGCGCTATTGTTAAATTGAGTCGAGATAAGCTCGAGAATTTGAAGCTCGGATGTGTGGATGGTGTAGGATGGGGTGGGCGAGGGGGAAGAGGTGATAGGGGGCGGGGAAGTATGCGGGCTGAGGCACGCGGGCCGCAGAGAAGATTTGGCAGACGATTTTGAGTGGCACGAGTGCCTCACGAGTGACGAACAGCACGGCGGAACCAGGGGAATTGTGCGGAGCGGAGACCTGCGCAGCCAGCTACTGAAAGGAACGGAATATACGCTAAATTACGGGCTGATCTGCTTTCTTCAGGTCGACGCGCTTTGGTCATAAATTACAGTCAGTACACCATGTGAGGAGGAGTGGGAAATTCTGTAATCAGAGAAAAAAAAGTTGGCGACAGATTGTATGCTTCAAGCAGAAACATTCTTCCTGCCCGGAGATGCTGAAATTGTGCAGACTTTCGCCACAATCGAGGATGCGGAGGAGAGAAAGTGCTGCGGAGAATGCTTCAATGTGCTTAGGGCGTGTCTGAAGTGCAAACGTCGAGTTTCGTCAAATTTCGTCGACGAAACTCATCCGTGGGACCCACGCGTGTTGGTGTCTGAAGTGCAGCCTGACATCCCTCGACGAAACTCGACGTTCGTGCACATGTCGAGGGATGTCGAACAGTGATACCGGGCAGCTGTTTGAGTCACTGTAGTCAGTGAGTGTTTCAAAAACAATTCTTCGACACGCCATGTCTGCATAGCTGTGGCAAACACACGTGAATAAGAACTAAGACGAGAGCGACACGTGCTAGAGAAATTTCGCTGGCAATGTGACAGTAGAATATCCGGTGTTACCAGCAACAATCTATGCTAAGCGAAATTCGCGAGATTGCAAACAATTGAGTTACATGAATGATTCTGTTAATTCCACGTCGAATTTTCATGGGCAACTTATAACAGTGTTCCTATGGCACGTGTGGGTTATTTTGTCGTGTGGGTGTCTGAAGTGAACACAGCTGAAAACGGATGTCGAGTTTCGTCAAGGAACGTCGACGAAAGTTTCGTCGGCAAACGTCGAAATTCACTTCAGACACGCCCTTATTGTGCCAGCTGGGGCATCCCTGGCTCGACATGATGCATCATCATAATCCTCGGTGTCCGTTCCATACCAATCATTTCACCTCGTAGGGTGTAAGGTATACCACCGTCGGTTTGGTTCGGTACGAACTCGTTCGGACCAGGTTCGCAAGTCTGACATTGGCTTCTGCGGTCGGAGATTCGCGAGAGGGATGAGCGAGAAGTCGTTGGGATTGTGGAGGTGAAAGGGGTGGATGGAGTTTTGGTGGAGTGATTGTCGGGGGGGAAGCTTGTGGCGGTGGCCTTGGCTTTGGCTGGTCGCCTTCTCTGTCTCTTTCCACTCCTCCCTCCCTCAATTAGATGGTATGGTTTGTTTATTGGTAGTTAGCTTTTGCGGGGATAATATTAGCGACCCTGCGCTTTCCAGGAAACTACACTTCTAGTTGCGGGCACTTTCCCCCCTCCGTCCCTCCGACAGGAAAGTTATTGCAACAAACCAGAACTCGGCTCCAGATACACCCACGTGTAAAAAAATCGCAAGCCGCTGGTGAACATGACCGTAAAAAACTAGAACCTAATCGGAAGGTGTTGCGTCTCGGGGAGGCATCAACCCTTAAAAAAATGCGGGTTCCCGTATTGAGGGTTGATCCCTCCCGAAATTGACTCCAGGTTCCCTATGGGTTTTATTTTTTTATGGCCCGCGTTCTCCAATTTTCTCAAATTTGTGACACGTGGGTGAATTTGGGACCGAGTTCTGTGATGTCATAACTTCCCTGTCTGAGGGTCAGAGGGACGGAAAGTGCCCGCAACTAGCGCTGTAGTTCCCTGGAAAGCACAGGTCGCTATTACTACCCCCGACAAAGCTAATTACCCTTGTTTATTTGTACACAACTGGTTGAAATCGGTCATTTGTGCACGCCACGAGACGAGAGTCCTGGCCGTGGGCTGGTTCGGCAACTGGCCACATCAGGAGGGAGGAATCGACTTCCACGGAAGTAAACGACGAATTGCATGCATTGCATTGTGTCCTCCTGGACGACAGGCGCATGCATGCTGACATGAGCACCTATTTGTCTATCATACGTCATTGACGTGCCATTATGAATCTCATCCAGCGAAGCACCGCCATCGTGGTTGCGGGACTTTCGCGACCACACTGTGCAGGTTCGATGTTTTTACGATTGAAACCACCTGTGTGATGTCACGGCCCGAACCAAGACCTTGCACAGCCAGTTCTACTGTCGGATGGAAACGAGTGAAATGGGTGCGACAGTTCACATAAGCGCTAACGACATTTAGCTATTCTCGAGCTGAGTACAGTTCTAAACCAACCAGTATGTGAAAAGAGGAACCAGTTTACACTGCAGAGACCGAAGTTGTTGGATGGCATTCTTCTGCACGAACCGTCAGGCGCACTGTTTACATTTTCAAGGAGAACGAATCTTGGATATGCTTGAAGAATCAGATATGCTGATGTAATGAAACCAAAATCAACGACGCGTCACGCAAAGCAAAGCAAACCAACCAACCTCCTCTTCGCTCTGTATGAGACAACTTTCATGTTGCACAGTAGCTCGTTCGCATACACCGTTTGTGCGAGGAAACACAACGATGCATAATCACGATCATTCAACAAATGTAAATATACGGTAGGTACAAGCTGGCTATCTCTAAGGAAAATTCCTTTTCCTTACTTCGCGTCCCCGTTCAGCGCGTACACCACTGTAGCACCACAGTCAGCACCGTTACCACTCGCAACCCTCGCATCGACAATCCTCCCGCCACCTTCGCACGTCGCACCCCGACCTCACGGCTCGGCGGGTAACCCGCGCTCCGGGCCTCCGCTTCGACATTTTCCCCGACCTCAGTCCCAGGCCCGTCGCGCGGCAACAACAGTCCATTACCGTTACCACTGTATTTTCGCTATATATTCTTCGCTCATGCCTTCGCTCATTGGACTCTTGCTTCGATAGTGCAATCCTCGCTCGCTCACTCAATTGCACTCGTAACACTTGGTATTTAGAGCCTACGATCTCTTCTCGGACCGCACCCACACCTTCGCTTCCCCACTATCTCAATTTTGGGGGGGGGGTAGACGTCTCTCAGCGACACAGCACCGCCGCTCGTAGTGCTCTCTTGTAAGCACGCACGGCCACGACAGAGGCTCTCGCTGAGCTCGCCCGACACCCCCGCCATGGCCGAATTCACGCCGGCGACGTTGACGCAGGAGCAGCTTGACCGTCTGGTACGCCAAGTTGAAGAATCGGCGCTCGAAATTGCGACGCTCACGGCGGAACGCGACTCCGCGCGTCAGCAATCCACGGTGAATACTCCGGCGCCACCACACGCACCGACAAATGTATCTGCACAATCGGACGAGCCGGTCGTCATTTCGTCCGGCACACCAATACAACACGACAGCGTGGGACAGCGCTCAGGTGCAGCCAGTGATGGCGCCGCCCAGCCGATGCCTGGCATGGGAGGAAACAGGGTCGCACCAAGCCCGCGGGAGCCTCGTGAAGCCCGTCGGCACGTGGGGTTCACGGCGACAAGTGGGAAACAGGCCATTATGGCACCAATGCCACTCAAGCCGCAACGCCCGCCCTGCTTCGACCCGAGCCAGCGTGGAGGTCCGACGGTTCAATCGTGGGTCTTCACGATGAACGTCTTCTTCGACGCGAATTACGTCGAGTCGGACGCAGCGAAGATCCGATATGCCGTCTCGCTGCTGAGGGGCCCCGCCATGGACTGGTGGCGAGTCATCGTGAGGTCGCCACGCGCCTACGAGCCACCGTCGCAAGAGGAAGGGCCCACGGGTCCAGCTGTCACTTGGAGTTCATTCTGCGAAACCGCCCAATACAGCACGTGGGATGCGTGGTGCGCAGGGCTTCGGGCACGCTTCGAGCCAATCGCGGCTTCTATTTCGGCGCGTCAGAAACTGCGTACTTGGCGGCAGCTCGGGTCGGTTCAAGACCACACGAGTGGATTTCTTGCATTATGCGAGCAAGTCGGCTACATGCACGAAGCGGAGCGGGTGGACCGTTACGTCGGAGGGCTGAAGCCGGACATCTCGCACGAGATCATGCTACGCGGGCTCTCGAACTTCAACGAGATTCTCGCGCTCGCCGAGAAAATCGACATTTTGCACCGTCCGAGACCGGGGTCCTACTATGGACATCGTCCTCGGGGACCAATCGAGCACGCCACCGTACACGCCGTTGCGACGAATGCAGCTGCCGCACCGTTTAAGGGGCGCTGCTTTGCTTGCAATAGGCAGGGCCATCGCAAGAGTGAATGCCCAGAGGAGCTGAGGTGCCGCGGAGCAGAGCAGGGGAGGGAGTCTCCAAGGCAGGGAAACGCCAGTAGTCAGTAGGAATCGGGCCAACTACTGACGAGACTGCCTGCTCGCCCAACCCCACCGACCCTCACCGAGTCACAGTACCGATTCATGCTATCGATCGGGCTCGGACGAATAAGGAGGGTACAGCGACGGATTGCCTAGTACTGATCCACGGGAAAATACAGGGAGCAGCAGTGAAGATTTTTATGGACGGAGGAGCAAGTCACAGTTTAGTTAATACCGCAACCGCACGAAAACTGCAACTGACACTTAGCCGTTGTTTACCTGAGATAGACGCACGCTTAGTTGACGGCATGTCACTGGCCATACGGGAGAGGGTGGAGAGAGTCAAAGTCCGCTGCGGGGGGAATTTCGGATTTACACAGGAAATGCTCGC